TCTTAATCAGGATATTAATAAGGAACTAGCAGTTTATGAAGCTTTTGGAATAATCCACCAATTTTTTAAAATTAAACACTATCTAAAGATTTGCATCGAAGCGTTTTTTTTTTATAGTGATTTTAATCACTGTCAGATATCATTATACTTCATCCAACTATGCCACGTCACCACTGTGCCGCGACCCCCCTGTGCTGGGTTTTTTTTTGTAATTAAGTCTCCACCAACAATATAATTATTACGAAAGGAAGAGAAGTATAATATTGATTGGAATATTAATCATATTGATCAAACGATATGGGATTTTGAGGGGCAGTAAACTGCGGCAAAAGTAATAGGAATATGATTAAGATAAATTTATAAGGAGAAAGACTGTATGTATTGTGTTTGAAATTTAAGACAAATATGACATTTTATAAAGAATTAAAAAATGAAGACAGCTCCATCACATGCTGCGATTTTTAGAATTATTAGTGTATATATTATGATAGATAGGAAAGAATATTTTCGGATTATTAGCAAACAGAATTTTGGTTATAAACGCTAGGTCAATATTTTGATAATTTATGTAGATATATAATTTATGAAGATACATTAATAACCATAAGTTATATTGCTAATGCAAAACTTCACATTTTATTTAATATTTATTAGCTTATAGAAACATTTCTCCTTCGAAGCAAATAATTTAAGTAAAATATCATATAGTTAGTCATAGTAAAATAAGGAAGAAAAATAAACAAATGATTTAAATTTTTTATGACATGTACATATACATTGTATTTAACATTGAAAATTGTGAATATTTTAATGGAACACAAATTTGAAATTAATGAATTCTTATGTGATAAGAATGATTTTGTATGAAAATCATTTAAATCAAGGCTATCTCTATATAGTATTATGTGGGAGAGTTTAATGCTACGAAGGTTAGTTATTTTCTGTAAATATTAGAGTAAAAGTAGGGAATTGAATTACAAAAAATGTTTAATTTAAAAGGAACACATGTATTTATTATTTTAAAAGGGCAAATGATGATATGAGAACAATTTTATGTATAGAATTAAATATGTTACATTTCTTAATATAAAATTTTAATAGATATAAAAATAATTGAAATTTGTAAAAAATGTCGAGCTGCTTATCATTCTGGTTTTAGAATGATTAAATACAATCACTGCTATAACATAATGTACTTAATGAGGTTGTCCAATCTATCCAATTCTGTTAACATAAAAATATATATACTATGACAGGCCTTAATTGTGACAGTTATTAATTGTATTTTATTTTATCAATGAGCTACAAAAATTGCCTATTTTTCTTAGAGAATCTTTAGCAGAATAAAATCGTTTATAGACACAAAAATATTTTTTATCAAATATTTCTGAATTATTTTTGAAAATACGTAAAAATTACTTCAAATGACCTTCATCACAATAAATCTCTGTGTCAATTATACTTTTTAATTATGTTATAAACATATTTATAATAAAGAAATGAAACAAGTGTTCCGTTTGCGAAATATAATAACACATGATGAAACTATTACTTATACGTTAAGATAGTTTCACACCTGATTGATTCCTAAAACAATGGTTATATATGTAAGTATGTAGTAAAATATTCTATAAATATATTAAACTGTTTTATTTACTTAAGTTTTCATAGTATTGCCTGTGATTGTGTTTTGTTATGCACATTATTAAAAATTAGTTGATCGTTTTCATTTGCGGTATACTATAAGATTTTTTTTTGTTAGAAATTTTAAACTAAAATATATGCTTATACATGTATATGTATATTAAAAAAGCTTGTAAACTAATGTAAACAGTCTTATAAATTTAATCTGCTGAGATTTTTTGATAGTAAAATGTTTTTTTTTCATTACGTCTACTACGTTTCTGTTCAAATGCATTGTTGAAAAACCAATTATAATGGACTTATAAAGGTTATAAACAATTTCATTGGCAATATTTTCTAAATTTTTGGACGACCTCATTGACTGTTCGAATATGTATAAAATGGAATTTGTTGAAAAATAGTAATACTTTCAAATTTGAAACCTAATTCAAAAACGCCTAAACTCAAACGAGTTTTATAAATTAAATATTAAAATTATTATATAGTATCTCAAATTATAACCTCAGACTATGGAAAAAACCCCTTGATAAAATGTTTTATTACTCTTAAAATTATTAAATTTTTAATTTGAAACTGCGTCTGTGTAAATTTTGATAATCTATTTTGGGGGGTACAAATTTCTAAATGTTGACATTGTTATAATAGATAAAATATTTTGGCAACTTTTTTGTAAGTGGGGATTTTTTTTTTGTTGAAATTGATTTAAAATTTTAGCTTTACTTATGGGAATCTATTTTTAATTTTTAATTAGTAATTTAACAATGGGTTCTAGCAGAAACTAGTAGTTATCTGTTTTTTTATTAAATGCAAGGTTACGTTGTGTAGTTGTTTACTAATAAGTAAATATTCATAGATAATTAATGTTCATAAAATTATAATAAAACTGTATACAGTTTTATTAAAGAAAGTTTTTTGTCAAAACAATTTCAAAGATGTTTAATCTTCAACATTTAGATATAAAGTTTAAAAAAAGTTTGATATCATTAAAGATTTTTTTAATATATTTTTCCATTAATAATAAAAACATTTAATAGTTATATTTATTAACATGAATTATTAGTGTTTTCGTAAAAGATCTTACATATATTAATGTAGACGTTTATCTCGATTTTAAAAGTCATAAAACAACCTTAGTATGGTTCAATTTAATCAACTGCCCACAATAGTATTTTATAGAGGGGCATTCTAGTAGAAGCAGAAATATTACCTTAAATATCTTCTTATGGTGAGTCAGTAATATTATTTATGTCATTACAACAATAACCAGAGTGAGCTCTCCTTGATCATAAGTAAGGTTTGTATTTTTAAATTAAACGGATATTTTTATTTTCATGTAATAAAACATACTTTTTTATAATTAAAAAATTCATTTTAGAGATATTTGTTTATTTATAATAAACTATTTTTACATTATTAGTTGATTTTTTAGATACGTGTGTTTCAATATTCAATAGAAATTAACTTACATCGAGTTATTTTGTTTAGTGATTACTTTTATTTTCTAAATCTTAGTTTTGTGAAACAAATTACTTTTAAAATAATTTACTGTCAAAAACTTTTAAAATGGTAAAATTCCAAAAGATTATTGTATAAAAATTCAGATATTTAAATGCTGTTTTTTTAAGATAATTGGTGAAAATAAAAATTTTATTGTTTTATTTTAAATGCTTTAAAAATTGGTGACACAATTTTTTTATTATTTTATTTATATTAATTTTTAATATTGATATAGTTTAATTGAAAGTCTTTTGCTGAATTTAAATTATTAATGATTTTGAATTTATCTGGATTATTAGATGTAGTCAGCAACGTAGTTGTACATTTTCAATAGAGAATAGAAAAATATTAAAAATAATTTAAAGGTTGCTAACTCCATTTGTTAAAGTACGAAATCTTTTTAATCGAAAACATATATATAGTATCTATTAGAAGTTATTTACTTTTTTAATTATTAGAATAATTTTTTTTTTAAGTTACTAGTCACTTTATTAATATTCATTGAGATTAAACTGAGAAAAGTTAAATATCACTAATATTTCAAAACTTTTCAAATAATGAATACTTACCAGTGTTAAAAAACATCTATTATGCAGTCATTTCTAACAATTCATTGTTTACATCTGGTATCAAAACAAGGCTCTATCTTCTTTAATAAAATGACTACACAGCAATAAAATATTTATTAATATATAGCATTATTTTAATAACAATTACTCACAATAACAAAAAATATATATCAAATGTTCAACCTTCAGTTTTATGGTACATATTTTTTGTACGATAATACATAATTAAATATCTAAGAAGATAATCCTCATTATGGTTATAAACGGGAATGATTAAATATAATTGAGTAGGAAAAATGTTCTTATTATAAAATTATACTATTTTGTTGTCGATGGAATAATGTTAAATGTTAATATAAATATACATTGTTAATTAAGGACAAGTTTAAAGAAAAGTTAAAAATAATATCTAAAAAAAAATTAACAATATAATACGATAAAGTTGTCGATATTAATATGAACGCAACTAGGAGGACTAAGCCGCTCAAATTTTTTTTTAGTTGCGCTCAGAGATAATATACTTGGTAAAATTAGGTTTGGTATACTTAATGTTACTTTTATCGAAGTTATTAAAATTATGATTCATAATATAACTTATATTATATATATATATATATGTATTATGTAAAATTAATAAATATAAATACATTTATAGACTGATTGTATTGAACTTACCATTGGTTAAAATAAGATTTTATAACATTCCAAAATGATCGTCCCTCTTAGTAATGAACAGTTAGATGCTATGCGTAATATTTTCCCGAGAACAATATTAGAAATCGATCAAGACTTGGCAATCATTAGACATTGGTTAGATAAACAACCTCACTTGCCGAAAATCAGTAAGTAAAATTAATAATAAAACAGCAGTACAATTGGTTCGTGGCATAGTTAGGACAAGTATAGATGATATCTGGCAGTTGATATCACTCTCATAAATAATACCATTATCAAATATAACGTTTCAATAAAAATCTGTTCAAATTTTTGCTTTTTTAAAATTTTCAATTTAAAACATAATACATGTGAAAGCATATTTTCTATTATTTATCACCAATAAGAAAAATGTATATATATATATATATATATATATATATATTAGGGTGTACCTCAAAAATCGAATAATTTTTTTTTTATGCTACCCCTTAGTTTTTTTAATGGTCAAAAAAATTAGCTGTGCAAAATTTGGGACCGATCCGTTAAGGTTAACCAGTGCCGCCGGACTTATTAAGTTGAGTGGAAGATGCAAATTTAATAGAAATAACTGATCTATGTCTCATAACTTTATTTTTGTGCTTAATTTAGAATTATAAAAGTAAAACTCAAGTAAACTAAATTTTACAATAAATTAAAAAATAATAACTTCAATGTTGTTTTCTTAATAAATAGCCCATAAAAACGTTATTTATTTATTTTCATTTTATTATTAGGAAAACGCTTATTCATTTAAAAAAAGATTCTAAAAGTTTAATTTTTTATGCCAAGTACGATAATTATACTAGATTTATTATATTATGGACAGTTGATTAATTATTAATTACAAATCTAACAAAATTTATTGTATTATTACATTTTGCCGTATCAATGTATCAATTTTGGTTTACTGAATTACTTTAAGATAGTACCAATTATATTATTATTTGTGTTATTTTCGTCCGACTGATATAAATTGTACGGTATAAATGCAGCAGTCAATTTGTGAACACGTTTAATCATATTTTACCTGTTTATTGTTATGTATTAAATAATACGTTTTAGTCACAAATGTACACTATTTTTGTTCTTAAAGATGTCTTTTATAGTATTACGAACTAATATTTATCTTATTGGTAATTATTCCCACGAAATAACTGGTAGTAAATTACCACAAAATTTACAAATGTTGAAAACATTGTTTTTTAATTTATAAGTAGTAAAATTAAGTGATTAAATTAATTAATTAAAATTAAGCCAGGTACTATTCATCATGCTCGATGAATGGCCAAGGTCATTTATAGCCTTAAAATATATATATTTAGAGAAGAATTTAAACTTACTAGCAGAGAAACACGAGGATTGCGCGATGTTTGTTTGTTTTTGGTGCTAATTTATGTTGAATCGCAGTTTACAGCAACATCGGCGGTTGTAGCACCATATAATGATTTGAATTTGTTAAAAAATTGTACAACTATAGATTAATAAGAGTGAAATATACCGAGTTGCGCTTTCTAAATTTGTAAATCACTTATAATACTTAAGTCCATAATCCATGGGACTAGCATTTTTTGATAATAAAATAGATGTTAATATTAAAAGAAAAATGGTCGGTCAACTTAATTCAACTTAATTAATCAGACTACAAAACGTCTGAAATTCTATTAAATTTGCATCTTTGACTCAACTTAATAGGCCCGGGGACATGGGTTAACCTTAACGGATCTGTCCCAAATTTTGCACAGCTCATTTTTTTAACCATTAAAAAAAAATTAATTAAAGAAATTATTCTTAACCTTATAAAATATTTATATATTTTATAAATTATTTAGGTGATGATGTGTTGAAAAAATTTATGTTTAGTTTAAAATATCGTATGGATAAAATAAAGATTGTAATTGATAACTTCTACACAGTGAAAGAATCATATCCTCAATATTACCATCAACTAGATCCTTGCACGGATTCGTTTCGGAAAATAGTTAATGCTGTGTGAGTATATTTTCTCATAAATAATAACATATCTAGGCAATCAAAAGTGTCCTTCGCCTATTGGTCAAATTAAACCATTATTAAAGTAAAAGAATTATTTGGTATGAATCTTTATCGTTATAAACTTTAAAATTAAGCACTTTATATATACACATAAATAAGTTGAAATGAAATGTAATAACTATATTGATTATTATATCAATAATAAATTCAATTTACAAAAAAAGAAAAATAAATGTAAATTTTAATTGTGAAGTGTGTAGATTTCTCTCATATTTAATATAATTATTCTTGAATATTTCATTTTAATATTTACAAATAGAGACGTATTTAGAGTTTTAACCTCGCCTAGGTAAAGTTTTACTGCCACCTCTACAAACCTCCATATTTTAGCTTCGATGCTAAGCTGAGAAGGTATTGGTTTTACTAAGATGTGTTTTTTTTTTTTTGTGTCTGTTATCACTTTTTCTCAGCTCTCACCGAACCGATTTCTTTCAATGATACGTCAAAAGATCACAAATCGTATCTAGTTGAAGACATTACCCTTAAAAATTGAAAAAAATTCCCTCGTTCCCCGTAAATGGGGGAAACCTCCAAAAAAATTACAAATTTAAAAATCGCTAATTTTCGAAATTTTTTCAATTTTTTTTACTTAAAAGTGCCATAACTTTTTCAAAAATGAACATATCAATATAATTGACAGTTAGAGATATGATTTAAACGCATTGGAACGATGTTATAGCTATATGATTAGTGGTATCAGGTTTTTAAGAAGCTAAAATATGTATTTTTTGTTGATGTGTGATTAAATTACTGTCCTTGGTGAATAATAATAATAATAATTTTTTTCCATTATTTACGTATCAATATGTAAAAAATCAATTTAATTAGTAAAAAAAAAAATATGTAATTTAATTAAAGTTGTAAATTGCATCAATAAAATAAGATATTTAAATTTCTCTGTTAAAATTTTTTATTGATTCAATAAAATTTTTCTTATTATTAATATAATTTATGTATAATTACATAAAAGTAAACACATTTAATTTTAATGGATTGTATACATAAATATGAAAATCAGAACTATTATCGAAGTTCATTAAACTAAAAACATAATTTAATACATTAATTAATGAGTATTATTTTATTTAGTTTATAAATTGTTTCGAAATTACTCATAAGTAGGTTTGAAACAAATTGTCGGAAAACGTATGATTGTTTTCCGAAAATTTTAATTAGGTATGTAGATGATACTTTTGTAGTTATAAACAAAGATTTTAATATAGAGGTCTTCATATAACATTTAAATTATTTTTACTTATCAATTAAATTTACATGTGAACAGGAAATAGAGAAAACATTAAAAATCAAGAAGTTGATGAATCTCATGTGACTGATCATTTATTAATACATAATCACTTTATTAAAACTATAAAAGTAATTAAAAATGTAAATAATTACAAAGAATATAATATAAGGGAACAGAAATGTTTAAAAATAATAATAATTTAATTAATTGAAATCTACAGAAAATTCAATAATTCATTTTTGTAAACTGGCAAAATATGACAATCGTAGGTGACACTGATGTTAATGTCACTAATTGTATATAAAACAGTATTGAATACTCCTGACCGAAAAATCTTACGTTTGCAGCGTTAGTATGTGTTTAGTACTAATGATGGTAACATTGTTCCTAAAGTATGTAAACGCGAGTTTTTTGTTTTTTTTATGGCTTTTCGAGTTAAATGTTTTTTAGTTTTAAATTAATATTTTTAGTAAAATTTTTGAATTGAATAATATTAACCACAAGCGATCAACTTTAATGTATAGATTGATATATGTTTATTGTTTTTACTCGTTCAATTTGCATCCATTCTTGAATGAATTAATTAATGATGCAAATAGCAGAGTGCTTTTGCTACTTAGGACCCACGAAAATGTTAATAAAACCCCCAAGATTTTTGAAAAATTACATTTATTGTTATATAAAAATATTTTTAAGTAGGGGAAATTACAATTATGATTATAACTTTATTTTACCAATTACACCTATAGTATTAATGCAATATCCTAATTCAAGATTGAAAAAAATATTTGAATTCCACAAATCAGTTTTGAAAAAAACTTTTTATCGATTTTATTTAAATTTACAGATACATATGTCCTTTACCTAAACTCACGCCAGATTTGAGTAGAGTATACTGCTACCGAATGGCTTCGTTAAACAGTGAACTAGAAGTAGAAAAACAGATAAAACGTCATGAAATGATGTGGAGCTGGTTGTTTAACAAAGACCCACTAACACTAAGAAATGTGTGGATATTTGATACAAGTTACATGACTTCAATGGCACAATGGGGACAGTTTAATTTGGCTTTTTTGAAAAATATCTTAAAAATTTGTATGGTAATTTAATGAAATTTTTAAATAAAACTATTGTATTGAAAGTTGAATTACTTATTAAACAAAAGATCAATTCGTATAATTATTTTATTCTAATTTCTTTATGACAATTTTTTATCATTAAAATTATAAATTAATAAAATATTAAATTTTAGTTTAAAAATGTTGATTTAAATCATTTAAATTAACATTTTATAATTAATAAAAAGAATAAATTTTACAAATTTAAAAATGTTCACTAAAAAATTTAGTTATAAATATTAGATTTCATATTAAGTCTGTGATAGAAATAGCAATGTTTTATTGATCGTATTATTTTTCGGAGCTAAGCCTCTACTAAATTACGATGGCACTATTAAAACTAAATCAATATTAGGCGTATTAATTCAAACAAATATCATTTAGTTTTTAATATAAATAAATATATATATATATACATGTATTATCATAAAAAAAATTGTCAAAAAAACCATAGCAGGCTTTTGTTATTAAAAGTAATTTAATTTTTACTAATTATTTAATAGATGTATTGTAACATTAAAGTTTGAATATTTGCTCACCAATTATCTTGTTTATTTAGGACGCCAAACCAGTTAGAATAAAAAAGATTTATATAATTAATGTTTCCTCTATTGCCGACACTACACTCAATTTAATAAAACATTTTTTCCCTCAAAAATTTAGAGACAGAGTAAGTAGTGTTATATTATTTGTTAATAATAAAATTTAATTTCATGAACTTTTTATTAAAAAATAATTCATAATTAAATTTTATTTATTTTAGTTTGTAATTAGCTCTAATGTTCAGTGTTTACAAGAAGACATTCCATTAGATATGTTACCAAATGAGTGGGGTGGTCAAGCTGGTAGTTTAGAAACTTTAAGCAGTGAGTTAATTTATAGAATTAATATTTGAATCAATACTTATATTAAAATTATGTAAAAAATCGTAGATACTTTAAAAAAAAGTTTTATTATATAAATATTTTCAGTTGTATCCAGGTGTTCAGTTGAATCTAAACGTCCGTGTCCAACTGAACACATGAATATATCTGAAAATAATTTGAATAATACAGCATTCCATGAAAGCTTTAACATATTCATGTAACTGTATAATTATAGTATAATATATCATATAATAACATTAAACATATTTGTGCGCTATTCATTTTATAATTGATAACTAATGTTAGATACATAGTTAAAAATTAAGAAAATATCATAATTATTTGAATTAATGTTGCTATTAGTTTCAATAATTGTTTTATTACATTAAAAACAAATAATTTACACGTAAATAACTATTCGAGTATAGATTATGATCTATTGCTTTTAGAATTTAACTTGAAATTGATTACATTTTATTATTCTTAACTGTACGGCGACGATAAAATTTTACTAACTGCTTTGAATCAAAACAAAATATAGAAGCTATTATTTTCAAGACTAATAGGAATTAGTGTAATGTTTTACTTTTTAATATGTTTATTTTGAAAATATCTATTGTAATTTTATTTTAATAATAAAATATATAACTAAAATATGTCCATTATTTAGCTAACTATTATTTTAAAGAATAATTTAAAATGGTCTAACAGTTATGTATAAATATAAATATTTAGTTAAAATTAAAAAAAAAAAAATTGATTACTGTAATAATATTAAATTATTGGTTATTTTCTGTAATGACATAATAATGTTCTGTCCAACTTAAAATGAATAAATTTTATTTATAACTCTCATAAGTAAAAAGTAAGATCAGGATATTGGAAAATAATTATTAATGTATAACACTGCCGTGCTAAGCGAAAACAGGATAACTCCATTCAACATGATTTTTCAGGAACACAAAAAAACATTTTTAACAGTAAATCAAGATACCCTTTTTTCCCAATGTATGAACATAAGTCAAATATGGTAACTCCATTATTTTTTATGTGATATACCAAGTTTTTGCTTAGTATTTGGATTTACCGTGTTTTCGCTTACAAAACATGAAATATATTGAACTTACCGTATATTTTCTTATTTTATATTTCAATTTTAGATGGGTTTTAATGGAAAATATGCTACTTTTACATCAAAAATCGGTGTAAAACCACTAAATTTACCTATAGAAACAAAAAAAAAATTTTTTTTTAATTTTGGAGTTATCCTGTTTTTGCTTAGCACGGCAGAACAAGTGTTAAATATACAATTAAAAGTTTGTTAAATTTTAAATTTTTTACAATTTTTCTATGGTACAAACGTCTGTCCACGTGTGTAAAGGACGGAAGTAAAAATTATCTTCTTACGTTATTTATTGGTAACAGTACGCAATTTCTTTTCCATGAAAAATAGTAACACTTAAACGCGCCTTTACAGAAATTATTTATATCTTAACAATTAATTATTTTTCTCATTAGAGACAAATCTGTACCTCAAATTTAGACTAACGCAAGTCCGAAAATTATGATTTCAGATTATTACATTTTTGTATGCAAAATTAAAATTTACATTGATCTTAATCAATATAATTTTGTTAAGATGTTATTATCTTTCCATGTTGTATCATTCTTCATCAACATGACATATACAATTACATAATCAAAACGATAATCATCTTAATGTATAACATAATTACAAACTATCGATGTTAGTAGCACCATTAAAATACCACAATTAGTTTTTACAAGAATATTCAAATACATAATAAAGTTTATAACCATATAAATTGTAAGGGATGATCCTAAAAAGTAATTAGTAGCTGATAAATCAAGAAATATATGTAACTTATAGAACTATAATATTTTTTTTAATATTGTTTTTATTTCGAGATTAATTGAGTGACTTTTTATAAACCGATCATTTTATATATAGAATTGTTATATATAAATATATATATATAACATATTATATATTGTTATATTTATATACAGGGTGTAAATCTTTCGAACCATAGTAATGTATGGGCGAGTATCCTGGTAAAGTGTAAAATAGGACCTCGTTTTTTTTTTTTTTTCCAAAATTGGAGAAATTTTGGAATAACCCCCCCGAATTTCTCTAAAATTAAAAATAAATCATACCACAATATTCCCCGCAAAATTCTCATACAAATTGAGTGGTCACTCGATTTTTTGTAACTTTTGCGCCCTCCCCTGAACTTTGGGTTCAAAGTTGGAAAAAAATTTCACATTAGTGTGACCCATCAATTTGTATTGAAATTTCAATGGGAGTCCTGTGATGTAGTTTATTTTTAGTTTAATCGATTAAATAATAAGAAATACCGAAAAACCCACAAATAATGTGATATTTTTTTAATTTCATGAGTTTATTTCGTCTTTTATTATTTATTCAAACCGATTATAATTTTTATCATTGAAACTGTTATAAAATTATAAATTTTTTTCTTTTTAGGTCGGGAAAATAAAACAATTATAATATTGAAATGAATATTTTTAACTTTATTACAATAGGATAATTAGAAATAATTATTTTAATGTAATCAGCCACTACTCTTTTCCGAAATTAATCAATAATGAAAATATGGTACATCACTGAGCTTGTTAATGTTTATTTAAATGTTCGAAAAATACTATTCACTATTGAATAGTCACTAATTAAGTTGCACATAATATTAGATAACCTTTAAAATATATCTTCTTTTTTTATGCAATAAAAATGCATAAATATTACATTATTTGTAGGTTTTTTCGGTTTTTCTTGTTATTTAATCGTTTATACTAAAAATAAACTACATCACAAGACTCCCAGTGAAATTTCAATACAAATTGATGGGTCACACTAATGTGAAATTTTTTTCCAACTTTGAACCCAAAGTTCAGGGGAGGGCGCAAAAATTACAAAAAATCAAGTGACCATTCAATTTGTATGAGAATTTTGCGGGAAATATTGTGGTATGATTTATTTTTAATTTTAGAGAAATTCGGGGGGGTTATTCCAAAATTTCTCCAATTTTGGGAAAAAAAAACAAAAAAAACGAGGTTTTATTTTACACTTTACCAGGATACTCGCCCATATATTACTATGGTTCGAAAGATTTACACCCTGTATATATTGTTCTCATTGTTAATAACAACTGACTTATTTCCATACTTACTAAGCACTCTGTATATATATATATATATATACTATATTTTTATAATAGATTTTATAATAGAATTGTTTTTCGTTAACTAAATTTTTTTAAATTTTATAACAAAAACTCATATTCACAAATTTTAGATTTTTTATCTTCTATTCTAGTACTAAAGTATTTAATTGCTATTTATATACACCAAATTCTACTATATTCATATCTATAGCGTAAAAAATAAATACATAATTTATTTTACAGATGAAATGTATTTAGAAATGGTCAAGTCTAGAGACTGGTATATAGAAATGGAACATGTCAAAGCTGATTCTCGAAAACGTATCATACAAAAGGAAAATGGAGATGAATCAATTTTAGGAGTAGAAGGCAATTTTAAAAAATTAAATGTTGATTAATTTTCTCACTTGAAGTTTTAAAATACTTGTAAGTATAGACATAATAAAAACATGTATATATTACGGTAAAATTGAAAAATGTTCATAATTACTTTAATTAATTAACTTAAATTATTGAAAAAAATGATACATTTAGACGTATAAGTCCAAGGGAGTTTTATAATATTTGCTTTTAATTAAATATTTTCCATTTTACCGTATTCTATAGAACACTATCATTTTATATTCTGGCAGTTTTAATTTTATTCTTTTTTATCAATTTTTTAGAAATAAATAAAAACCAAAGGAATTTAATAAACAAATCAATATAATTGATATGCCAGATGTCACTATTGAAGATATAATCAGCTTTACATCAGTCAAGATTTTGTAATAATTGACTTTTTAAATAACCACAAATTAAAAATAATGTATATATTAGTTTTTGGGAATGTAAAATTAGCTTAACTATTTGTGTAAAAATAAAAATTTTATAAATAAGAATAAACAATATAAGTTTATTAATTTTATTAATTTTAGTTTTAATGCGAAGTGAGAAGATATTATTTTTACCATGATGTAATTTTTTAGTCTGTCCATGAAAATTCTCAGCTCTCATTAGACTGATTTTACACAAGTAATACGTCAAAAGCACTTGATTTTAATCTAGTTGATCATATAAATGCTAAAAATTTAAATCTCTTTAATTATAGAATCAAAAAAAAAAAAAAAAAATACATATCACAGTATTACCATTAAATATAGAGTATCTCTATACTATCTTCAGTTAATTTACTACGTTTTACAGTATTACGTACTGTAAAAAGTAGTATTTTCAAAACATTTTTTCTGCATTTAAAAACTTTTAATTCGAAACTCATTAATTCGGGACAATAAACTTTTTTTGGTATACATTTTATAAAAATCCATTTAATAAATTTAAGCACAAGAAAATTTTGAAAGAGACTACCCATGTATGTAAAACTCGATTTTTGAAAGTTTAACAAAATTTATCCTACACTAAATTAAAGTTCTTGAAAGGTACTCTAATATTATCGAATCCATCTCACGATCGTTCAACTATGAACTATGAAATCAACCTACAAAGTATAAAAACTGGCAATTTTTACAAAAAATTTTTTACAATTTTTGTAGATGTTTCGGGACATACGACAACCAAATCCCAGATCAAATTAAATCTTTTTTAAAAAAATTCATAATGAAAAATAGTAAAATGTTTCCATGGTTTTTTTTATAAGTTATTTGACTTTAAAGCTAAAAATCGCAAATTTTTTTTTTTATTTTCTTATTAGTATATTACAAATACACTGATAATATTTAAAACACATTAAACTTGAGACAATATACTTTCTTTGGGTATGTTTCTTATAAAAACCTAATAAAATATATATGCTTTCAACGTAAAAAAATCGATATTAACCACTGTCAGATATCATCTATAATTGTTCTAACTCTGTTACCTCGCCATTATTCCGCGATTTTACTATGTTTCGAACGCACTGTACAGGTTTTTCTTCTGAATATAAGATTTTAATAAAAATAATTTGTTTAAGTTAAATGAATAAAAAAAAATTGTCAAAAATTAAAAATGTTCGATTGTTTTTCAATGAAAATTTTAAAACATACTTTTATTTAGCATAAACTTTAGTGTAAAATCGTTACTAGAGTGTCACAAAAGTGTTGTTGAACTAGCTGTGGCTTTACTTTTAATATAGCCAATTTCAATTTGAATATAAATTTTTTAAGAATAATTTTCTTTACAAATGACTAGTGTTAGTTAAATTGCTTATGAAAAATTAAAGAAAACCCAGTGCAGGCGGTTGCGGAACAGTTTAAACGAGTATTATTGATATTTGACAGTATTTAAAATTACTTCATTAAAAATTCTTCTAAGAAAATTTGTTAATTTCATAACTTTTATACTTGTACCTTTTGAATTTCTATGATTTAAAGTTTTATTTAAATATTAAATACTTGTTAAATTATTTGCTTAATTCAAAATAACGCAACTTTTTTGCTTTAACGGTTAAATTCGTATAGTAGAATAATCGTTATGATACATTTATTAAAATATTTTAGTGCCCTTAAAATCTTTAATTAGATATAGATTAAAAATTATCAGACCTTTCAAAAAGTTTTAAAATGATAGATAATTTTAGAAAATGCTATTTTTACGATAGTATAATTTCTGGTGCTGATAGATTAAAATTAGGTTTTCTTGACGTGTGAGTCATTGAAATCGATCCAGTGAGAGTTGAAGATTTTCATTGAAAAACACAAAAAGATATACACTATCATAAAGTTATAGCTGGACATATATGAAGCAAAATTTTTTTTAATTTTTAACTAATTATGTGAAATTTAAATATTCAATACATCAAAGAGAATATATTTTTTATTATATTTATGATATATTGTCACAATATTTGCTATGTGGGTATTTGGGTAGTATTCTTAATAAATAACTTATAGTGATTTATTACTAATAAATCGCTATATATAATTGATCTAGATGTAAAAGATATTCGGGGAAAATTATCTAGATAAAATAATTTGTCTTATATATATATATAAATTCCACAAATTAATTATATTTTAAATGTTTTTCCGTCTTACATTTCAAGCTAAATAAATTTCTATTATACTATCGAAATACTGTCAATGTTGTCAAAAGAATATTTTCTCTCGATATACTTCACTAAAGAATTTTTAATCTTTACTACTAATAGAAAAAAGATTTACAAAAAAATCAGCAAATGATATTCACAATTAATTAAATTTATGTAGAAAATCTTTCTTTATCTACAGTGTGATAAATTGTGAAACAATTATTTTATTCAGTAATAATTTTTTCAAATTTATATTTTTATTTTAATATTATTTACTTTTTATATTAATTTTTATTATTTCAATTTCAAGGTAGATATCTACGAAATTTTTTTCTTTACAATAAACTTGATATTATTAAGGTATTTCAAAAAAATAATCAACTTTAAATCTGTACATTTTAATGCAAAAAATCATTACTCAAACAAAAATGATAGAAATATTCCTAATAAATCATATTGTAAATCAAACAAACATCAAAATTAAAGAAACATAACTTCAAGAGTTGAATAATTTTTACCACAAATATTGTTAATAATATAATATAATAACTGCATATTGAAAGTTGCTATTATAACAGGACAAGTTATATTCAAAAATGCTTGAATTAAATAGTAATAAATAGTAATATTGTAACGAAATATCATCAAAGGTAAAAAATGAAGTAAGAGTGAATTTAAAGACAAAATTAGATAAAGTATCAGATGATTAAATTACAGCTTCCGATTCCTCTCTCCTCATAACATGACCATCTAAGTATATTTTCTCTTATCTTATCTACGATTGACGCTACACCTATACTCCCTCTTAAATGTTCGTTCCTTATCTTTTCTTCTCTAGTCACACCATTCATCCATCTAAGAATTCTTATCTCTGCTAAAATTATTTTCTGCTCTACTTTCTTGTCAATCACTCAACACTCTGAACCATTCATCATAGCTGGTATTATAGAACTTACCTTTCAGCTTCATTGGATTTCTTTTATCGCATAACACACCAGACACTTCTCTCCACTTCAATTATACGCACTTAATTCTGTGTATTACATCCTCGTCAATATCACCGATATTTTGTACAACTAATCCAAAATACTTAAAACTTTCCACCTCTCCTATCACGTCCTCGCTTATTGTCACTGATCTCCTCATTTCACCTACTTCTTGTTCTCCTTTTTCAAATTCGTACTCTACATACTATGAATTAAACCTTTTTCTATTTTTTCCTATTAACATTATATCATCAGCGAACAACATGCACCACGGGACTTCTCATTGTATTCTCTAATAATTTGTTCCATCACTATAGAAAATAAGTAAGGACTTAAAGCAGAACTTTGGTGCACTCCTATTCATACCCTAAAATCTTTTGTTACTCCTCCAACTTTTTTTACCATGGTACAAGTGCCATCATATAAATCCTTTATTATATTAATGTACCTTTTCGGGAATCCTTTTCTTATGAATGCCCACTTTAAAACCTTTTCTGGTACTCTATCATACGCTTTCTCCAAATTTATAAATACCATACACAGCTTTTTCTTTTTTTCCTAAACATTTCTATTAGTTACCTCACTTTATTACCTACCTTATTAGTAATGTGTCATTGCTTATTCTCTTATCTATTTTATTTTCCCAAATCTTTACTATGACTCATAAGCTTCATGCCTCTATAGTTCCACACTGTTGTATATCCTCTTTGCCTTTAAATATCGACACTACAATACTATACTTTTATTTTTTTTGGCATTTTCCCTTTTAATAAGATATTAATATGATAATATAATATTTTAAAAATTATAAAATTCTAAGCACTGTTAAGCTTCTCTTTACTTGTAAGTTAATAAAATATATGAATACTTGTTATTTAGTTAACAAAAAACTAATTTTAGTTGACGTTTAGATAACCCTTTATAAACTCATCGAGCTAATATAAAAAGTTTAGATAATTATCTAGAATTTCTTAGCATTGGTTATAGTACGTCCTTAGAATACCATAAAATATTTAAATAATATGTTGTATTAATACATTATATATTCTATTGTAAGCATATTAGCATAAAATTATTACATTAATAATTTTAAAGATTCGTTAACATATAACAACACAGTCGTTAGTTTCATTAGTTATTACTTCACAGTCTCATCAAAAAGGTAAGAGATTTAATTAAGTGATATACATATTTTTGTTTTTAAAAATATTAAAAATTATTTGAAGTGTTTAACTTTTTTTTTTAAACAATTTCTTTAATTTTTCTATTCTGAGTTTATAATTTAATGGCACTCAGTACAAGCCAAGTAATTCCTTTTTTTAGATTTACTTTTTATTTATTTCCATTTTTTGTAGGTAATAGTTATAATCTATATAATTATTTATCTATCTATATATATATATATATATATATATATTACTATTTAAAACTATTTTTAGTTTATTAAATTAATAATAATTGCGTAATAAGATTTTTCTGTATAATAAAAAAAGTAAAATGACTAGTATTCATTAGGTTCATTTATGACCTTGTGTTTATGTATTTTAATTTATTATTTTTATTGACAGCAAAATCAAATGTCGGTTGTTCAAAATAAAATTAAGTTGCAATTGCAAACCAACTCTGAAATAAATAATGTAACTGAAAAACAAGTGTCTGTAGAACATATTAAGGATTGGATTCGCAAACAACCACACTTACCTGACGTAGAAGGTAAAATGTGGTCGAATTGTAATAATAATATACTTTTTGAAAAACTAAAAAAATTCGATTTAATTTAATATAATTTTTAAAATATATCAGATTTTACTATTTTATTAAATAAACAGATTTTACATGATTCAAAAGAGATTAATATAATTGGATAACTTAATGTACAACAAAAACAATGTATATCATAATTTATGATATTAAAATGTTCTTAGATGATGTTTTCCTTATGTCGTTTCTTCGTGGGTGTAAGTATTCTCCTGAAAAAGCTAAAAAAAAACTAGATATGTACTTTACAATGAGAGGAGTAGCACCAGAATTTTTTAATAATCGAGATCCTTTATTATCAGACTTTAAGGATTTTTTCAAAGTTGCGTAAGTATAGAATTATTTTATTATATTATGAATACAATCGTTCTAACTCTTTTATCATAATAAAATATTTTTAAAATTAATACATTAAGATATCATTATTTATTATTTATTCACAGCGTTATTGTAATACAAACTGTATGTGATTTATTTGTATTCTTTGTAGCCTTTTGAAATAAGTATTTTTTATATTTTTTTGTTTTGAAATAATATTAGCCACAATTGATCAATTCTTAGTATATAAAATGTATGTATAAAACATTAAAACAAACAAAATACTATTAAATCATATACAGTATGTGTTTAAGGCTTAAAATTTAATACGTATTAATATGCACTTTTGGTGGCTTTTTAGTTAAGTATTTTAAATATGTTTTAGTTTTAAAAGTAAATTGTACATTTATTTATGTTGATAATTGAAAAANTTTAGTTTTAAAAGTAAATTGTACATTTATTTATGTTGATAATTGAAAAAAATAAAGTTGACCCCCTATAAGGTGTAAGGAATTATTTAATTAAATTTTTATTTTTTAATTAATTTAAATGTTTAATAATTTAAGAAATGTATTAACAATGCCGAGGCTAACACAAGAAGGATATAGGATCGTTATTTTTCATACAAAAAATATGGATGAAATGATATGGGATCCAGCTTTCAGCATGAAATTGCTATTTATGTTAGCAGATATTAGATTGAATGAAGAAAGAAATAATGAAACAGGAGATATTTATATATTTGACGGAGGTTCATTGAAATCAAATTTTTTATCGACTCAATTGCCTAGATATACTCCATCTTTATTAAAGAAATGTGCAACATGTTCAATAGTAAGATTCAACTTACAGTAGTAAACTTGATTTTGAGCGTTGTTTTATTTTTGATCAATAAAATATCAGATTTATTGAATTTTAAAATACTATTTAAACACAATAAAATGAATTTAAATATAATTAAAATAAGTATAAGAAACTAGTAACAAGTTATTGTTCATACAATAGTTTGAAGACATATAGTATAGGATAACATTACATTAATTTATGTGAGAATTTACATAAAAAATGATTTAAGAAAACACATGATATGTAACAAAACCTTTTGATTTTTTTTAGGAAGCGTACCCATTTATAATTAAAGGTGTCCATGTGATTAATATATCTCCTGTAGTTGAAACTACAACAAATTTTTTAAAAATTTTTTTGAAAGAAAAAATTAAAAGAAGAGTGAGTTATACTTCAAACATATTATGTTAAGTTATTTATTTTTTAAGTTAAATATAAAAGTTTAAAATTAAGCTAAAATTAATGCTAAATAATTATTGAATAACTTATAAATTTAATCATCTATAATATTAGAAGTTTATTTTTTATAGATTCATTTGCACTCATCATATAAATCTTTATATAACTATATACCAAAAGAATTTCTTCCTGAAGAATATGGTGGTCAACAAGGAACTATGGCTGAAATTAATAGTGAGTCATATTTTTTGTAATAAAAAAATACTACAAACAAGTAGTGTACTAAGATATCATTCATTTTTAGAATATTGGTATGGAAAATTAGTATCATATAGAGAATGGTTTTTAGAACAAGAAAATATTAAAACTGACGAATCAAGACGTCCGGAAAAGCCAAAAACATATGGAGATTTTTTTGGAATGGACGGTTCATTTAAAAAACTATCTGTTGATTAAATAAAAGTTTGCATATAATTTTTTAGAATTTCTATAAAATAAATGTCATTAAATTATTCGTAATTTATAATTTCGTACGTCTTTAATATTTGATATCAAGTAACAATATAATAAAAAATTATTTGTACGAATATTTGTGGTTCTTAAAAAAACGTTTAATGTAAAAGCCTTGAATTATTAATTTATACTTTCAAATTATAAAACATATGATTGGCAAATATTAATTAACGTCATCAATGCATAAATCTTAAAATTATTATTAAGCCCCAAAATATGTCCTTCGTAATAGTTGGGAAAATGTACCTAGTATAATGTTATTGTTATGTTTTTTAAAATTGTTCACCTTATTTTATTTGATGTCTTCATATATATATATTAATAATTAATTAATTAATCAGGGTCATAAGCACAATTTAATTGTTGTAAAACATGTGAATTTCTATGACTAATTATAATAATAAGTAAAATTCAAATTGTATTGTATAGAAATGCGTCATTGTTCTTAATAAAAAAAATTTAATTTCTCATTCATTATTTGCCTATGAAATTGTATTTTAATATTGTAGTACAATTGTACATCTGTTTATTTTTCAACCACTAGTTTAGCTAACGCTAATTTTTGAAAATTGCTCTAGTATATTAAGGAATTATTACGTACAATGGTTTCCCACTTGCCATCTCTACTAACGGGTCTTATGTTTATATAGTTAACGGAAATTTTTAACCTAGATTAAAACCTTATCCATTGCTATTAACAAAGATTTTTTTCAATAAATTTCTTTTGCTTAAAAAGGTCAAAAATTGGAATTGATTAGTTAGGTTATTTGAACCTAACCTTCAAATTTTACTTCTTATCAACATTTTTTAAATTTGGTTATTTTAAGTCATGGAGATATTTATTGGATATGATTTATATTTCAAATGAATAATCTAAATAAATAAGTGACATTTTTAAAATTAGTCATCTTATTAAGATTTATATTAAAATCTAGGTATGGGAGTGCTTTCTTCTTTTATTAATTTCCTTCTTTTAAAACCACTCAGTGTAATAGGAGTAATTTCATATGCTATCTAGATCCATAGTTACGAACATTTTAGGCTGAGGTTACATTTAGTTTAAACAGCCTAAAGCCTTTTTTTTATCATTTTGAATAATAAGTAAAAAAAATTAATTTTACCAGAGAGCATTTGTTTTCATTTCTGTCAGTGGCAGATCCAGGTGAGAGGCCAAGGGTGCGCGTCCCCTACTTGAACTATTGTCACCAACTGATAAAATAAAAAAAAGGCTTATAATGATTAAATTGATAAAAAATTAACTTTGACGTCTAAAGAATTTTTTGCACCTTTCCTTTAAAAAATTACTAGATTGACCCCTGTCTTTTGAGTAATTGATTAAATATGATCCTGGACATATAGGTAATCGAATACCGTTAAATAAAAATCATATCAATATACTATAATTTACTACTACGTTAAATCAAATAAATTAAATATGATTATAAATATATGTTTTATATTTTTATAAAATGTTAATAAGACTATAAAACAGAGGTATATCATTCTTTTTAAGTTTTATAGTGTACTTACCAACTAGCTCTTTAAAAATTTTGCGTGGGACGCATAATTAAATTTATCATGGAATATATTAAGGAAGAATAATTTCCTACTTATTATGCAGCCCAAAAAAAAAATTTTAAATTAATAAGCTAAAGTTCTAGTATTGAACTGACCACTGCTATTATGCATAAGTTGTTTGAAAGAGTTAATATAATGAACGCATTAAGATTAAAACTTTAAATAATATATATATTTTTTTTAAGTTCTCTTGTCTACAAATTATTTTATGAGTATTAAATAATCATATAATAATATTATTAACTTATATTAGGTGTAGATAAAAATAATCAATTTTAATTGCTGGTACAGTTTTCTTTTGATATATCCTAATTTTATTAAGTTTACAATAAAACAAAATTATGTGTTTACACCGATCTTAATGTATTTATCAATTTATCATGTACTCGTATGTTAGATTAATTGTAAACATTTATTAATATGTATGAATTCTTTGAATAAATAATTTTGTTTCATTTAATTTTTAATATAAATATGTTTATTTTTCACATTTTTTCATTATTATAAAATAAAATGTATGGAAAAAAAAATAACGATAGCACAGTGGGATTGTGGCACAATGTGGACGTGACATAGTTGGGACAAGTATAAATAATATCTGACAGTGATTAAAATCACTATCAAATAAACGATTCGATGCAAATCCATAGATAACGTTTAATTTTAAGAAATTGGTGAATTATTTCAAAAGCAAAATTAACTCCTATCTCATTCATTATTCCTAATTATCAGTTCTATGATTTTGAAGTATAATATATAAATAAATATCTATTATAGCAATTAATATCATAGTAAAACCAATACCTTCTCAGCTTCGCATCGAAGCTAAAAATTATGTCAGATGAAAGAAGTATATAAATAGTATTTATATAAAAAAATATTGATTCATATATTTTTCAAAAATTTATAGTATTATAAAATTAAAAATATAAAAAATTTTTTTTTACAAAAATCGTATTTTTTTTATTAACTTTGATGTTCGTTTTTACCATGAAATCAAAATAAAGTCCGAAATATTTTTTTTTAATATTAAAGTATATTACATAAGCTTTAATTTAAGATATATATAAAAGTGTCAGTATTTCCGGAACACTTTCAAAAATTAAGTTGAAAAAGTTCTACTTTCTATATGCATTTTTATGTTTTGAAGACCCACTGTATATAGGTATAGAGTCCGATTTTAAAAAAAAGTATGTCGAATGAAATAAGTATATATAAAGTATTTATCATTAAATAGTAGAATTGATTCATGTATTTTTTAAAAACTTATAGCAACATAATGTTTAAAAAATGTAAAATATGACATCAAGAATTTTTTCACAAAAATAGCATATTTTTACATACGGTAGTCATTTTTACATTTTTTATGTCCAGAGATAAAATTTTTTATTTTATTTTTGTTAGAGTTTCCGGAACGCATTCAAAATTTAAGTTGAAAAAGTTAATTTTATGTGAAAGAGTTCCATTTTGAAATCCTTCCTGTGGAAGGTGAAGGGTCAGATTTACAAAAAAAATATACCAAATGATAGGTAAATATTTAATGTATCTATAATGAGAAAATTGTTTCTATTCATTTATTTTTAAAAAAGTTATTGCAGTTTTAAGAAAAAAAAATTGAAAAAATATCGAAAATTACCGATTTTTAAAATTGAAATTTTTTGAGGGATTTACTCCCTTTACGGGGATAGAGATAATTTTTTTCAATTTATAAAGGTAGTATCTTCGACTAGATACGATTTGTGATCTTTTGACGTATTGTTCATCACAATCGGTGTAGCTGAGATTAAGTGTTCACATACACAAAAAAATAAAAATAAAAACCTATATCACATATATCTTCTCAGCTTTGCATCGAAGCTAAAAAAACACATCAAAGTAAAATTAATACCTTCTAAGCTTCGCATCGAAGCTAAAACGCATAAAACCAAAAAACAGTTAAATGATAATTACAAAAATCATCTTTCGAAACCTAATCTTAATGATTGTAGGTTGTGGATGTCACTAAAAAATTTTTTTAAACCAATTTTTATCTTAACACTGAAAAATACTTGACTTGAAAATAGACTTGCCAAATACGAAACTAATATAGAAAAATACATTGTTTTTACTTAACATTTTGAAAACTTTTTAAACAGAAGAAACAAACATGGTAAATACATTAGAAACTGATTGTAAATTAATGAATAATATAATTTTGAGTATGATAATTCTTTGCAACTTTAATGTAATACAAAATATAATTCAGAAACTAGAATACAAAAAAAATTCCTGGACATGACATCATCACTAACTAATTTTTTCAAAAAACTTACCTCAATTTCTATGTCATATATTAATTAATTTATTAATTAATTTTAAAATTTTGTAGGATATCTTCAATAAATTCGAGTTATTTTAATATATTGATCAGCAAAATTGGTCCAGCGAGAGCTCACAATTTTTATTGACAGACGAAAAAAAATGTGTCACGGTAGATACTTTTTCAGCTTTGTATCGAAGCTAAAATGATAAATAAATATGTTTCTACTAATATAATGTGTAATTAATGTTATTTAATGAATTAACTTGTTCGGGAATCCTCTGTTACTTAAAAAAGGTAAACATTTTTTTACTCTATAATTATTTTTAAAACCATTATTAACTGTTGTAAAATCCACACACTTTACTTCTTAATAATTCTTGAATAATTTATATGCACATAACAAAAGTCACTATGTTATAAAATTTGTGTTAAATGTCATACTGATAATAAAATAATATTATGTGACATTTTATACATATATGTTTTTGGTTAATAACTATCTAAATATTGATTATCATATAATAACTAATACACATGTTAATAATGAAACAGTCACATTGAACACTACAACATTGAGATTATTAAAAAGAGATAGCGACTATCTAATGTATAAAGAAAATAAAGGCTAAGACTCGTCAGTTCGCTCTCAATATTTCTTGCGGCATTTTTCTCTAGATTTACATTCTCCTCTGCTTACCAAAAATCAAGCTTCTTATCCCAAGCCCATAAATAATAGAACTTGGTGAATCTTTATCTCGATTGACATATGTCTAATGATACTTGCAATTGCTATTTCGATGTTCGTATTATTTCTATCTGATTGCAATTTATTTTATTAGTTTGGATAAATACTACTAATAAATACTACTATAAGTGAGCTAATTTTATTAACCCCCGTCGTAGATTTTAATTATTAGAACAGTATTGATCGTTTTTAAATAATAAGGTTATAAGTAGTTGAAATCATTAAAATAAATTTATAAGTTATTAATTTTATCGTACTGTAAAATAGATAGTGTATACATATTTTTAAAGTCCTAGGAGCGAGATGATTATGCTGTTGCCGGTGCCATTCGAGAAAGAAGTCTCTGGAGCAAGGCCGTGTTAACGCACATGGTACTTGGGGTTACATGATATACATAAACCATATTCTTACAATTTAACATATCAACAAAATTGTCTCATATCGTACATTTTTTAAATTAACTCATTATTTTTGAACCCTCGAACCACGACCCCGATGATATAATTAATTTTATATAGTAATTCACTTGTACTCTACCATATTTACCTATATACCATATTTCACATAAGCATATTATTTTTACATTTTAATATTGCAACAATAACAAAACTTCTGGACAATCCATTCTTATTTATATATATATATATATATTTATTATATTTTGAATTGCTACATAACAAAAACCCATACCTAAACCAAAATTTAAAAAAAATTAAAAACGATACTGTAATCTAAAAAAATCATTTTTTATAAAAAAATCAATAAATAAAAAAATAAAGTCAATAAATAATAAAACAAATTATATTACTAGATAAGAATTTTTTTTATTTTGGAAATATATTTAGCTACTTATTGTGCACATGATTTTTAAACTTGTACACGTATAACTCAATTTTGGGAGAAATTAAAAAAAGAAATACCGGATTCAACAATATTCATTGTTTGTTATAGTCTAATTATTATCATGTTTGTTGTACACACATTTGTGGTGATTTCTACTACATAGCGTTTCATAACTTTTATGATACTAAAAAATAACAATTCTGATATCACTGCGTCATCTCAAGTGTCTGCATGAAGATATAAATCTTTAATAAGCTCACAAGCTGTGACTAATTATGTTTACGTTATTCTTTTTTCATAATTTGTGGTTTTTGGAGTGTAAGTTAAAAAATTTTACTACAACAATTCGCAATAGATCTCGTAATCATTTCGTGACCACATAAATTTATTACGGTATAATTATTTTTATAGCAATAGTACACCAGCGCAACAGGTTTTTTTCCTACAAAGGTATTATGTTTTTATGATTGAGTGGATATGATATGATATCTAGTGGAAAAATAAGAATTTTAGTGTAAAAGTCTTTAGAAAATTAATCAGTTTATAATTTGTGAATAGGATTAATAGTATTTAATATTAAACGATTAACTAAATTCAATGAGCAAAATGTTGAGTTTGATTATCAGTTACTTAAAGGCTAGATTTATGTTGAATCATACGTTAAAAAACTATTTAACTTTAGGCTTTAACTAAGCCAAATCGTTTTTGATAAAGTGAAAAACAAAATTCTGTTTTGCAAACTTAAGTTGAAACTGAACATAAATAAGTGTGTGGTATATTACAATTTAACTATAAAATTCATTACTGGGCTGTATAATTTAATAGACTTTAGATTATAAATAAATATTAAAGATTGTTTAAAATTATTCAATGGTCAATTGATCTCATTTTATGAATTATAAATAAGTATTTTTATTATTATAATAAATGCTTAGACCTTGAATTTACGTTTATGTAGTATACATTAGCATTCAAATGTGTAACTAGGTAAACGTTCGATGTCATTACGTGGGTGGTTTCATTTTTATAAACAAATTTATTTACATGGATTAGTAAGTAAAAATTACTGTGCATTATTTAAGCACAAGGTTGCCATTTGGTAATAATTAAAAAAAATGATACAGAGATCATCGAAGGAACTGAATTAATAGTACAATATAGGATTTACAGTAATGTAATATGATACTCAACTATTTAGATATTGACAGTAAAATGTTAATTATTGAATATTAAATATTTAACTGTCATATAAGATGTTTTTCAAGCCTCAAAGCAGTACTTAAACATTTTTATACATTTCAAAAATTTTGATGCATATGTTGAAATGAAAATGTTTGATAACCTTTAGTTACTTAATTTTTTAGTAACAAAAAATATATACTGATATTTTTATAATAGCATAGATTTGCTGTTTAGCTCCATTCTATAATAAAACAATACATCTATTTATAAAACAAAAGTGTTGAATAATAAGTTTTTCATTAAAGGTGTACGTTTAAGATGTAATATATATATATATATTTATAGTTCAAGAGGAATGGAAAAAATTTAATTTAGGTGCCAAAAATAACAATTTTTATCATCAAATGTCTTTAAACTATGTTCATTTAAATTATTATTTAATTACTATAGTTTAATAGAATTTATATTATGACGTGAAAACCAGTAGTTTAACATAATTGGTTTTTGCTTATTAATAGGTATTTACTATAACCAGTCATTTTTATATTTAATGCAAATAGTTAACTTATCTATTTGTATCAACTAATGACATTAACTAATATGTAGTAAAATTTGAAATTTTTACCAATAAAATATAAAGACAACTTTGGTTGTGTTTTTAATTGATTATATTATATAAAGTTAATTAAAGAATAATCAACACAAAATAATTTCTATTTATCGCGATTTGTTTTTAATTATAAATGTATTTATACTTGAAAATAATTCTGATAATTGCTTTATTTATATTATAATTTTATAAAAACAAATGTTTTTTGTTATAATTAAAGGTTTCGATGCTATAAATGATTAAAATTAGGTGCTCAAATGTATCTTTGAAGCTTTAATTAAGTTTAAAGCCATCCACTTGAAACTAGTAAACAATTATAAAGTACGCCTAATTTAACAGTTTTATAAATAATACTCTAAAGAATGGTGTGTATTTATAAATATGTACAAACGGTTATATTACGTATAGCATTTTTCAATGCCACTTTTTTATTAAATTTAATACTTTTTTTATTTGACGTAATTTTCTGATGAATACATACAAAAAATTAATATTTCATTTGTTATTTAGTATTAACTTAAAACATCTAATGAATTAAATTTACCAATTTTTTTTCACTGTCTCTACTTTGCATCGCATATAAAATTGAAAGTAAAACTGAAATGGTTCATTTTCCAATAATTATATTGTTAAATTTTTTTCTTTATTTTACAGTTTAATTTTTATAATTTTATTTTAATGATAAATATCAATTAACTTAAAAATAATTGCATTTTAATATTTTATTTAACGAGGCATAATTTTAAAAAATCATTAAAGAAATAGTATGCATATGATTTACCCTCATCGTTTCCTTATATGTATTGATAAGTATAAGTCCAAATGAAAGCGTATTTGTGGTTTTTATTAAAATGTATTGTTATCGTGTATTGCTTATCATGTTAGAATGTTTATTAAACAGATCTATGTAGTTCTGTTTTAATGTGGGTCAAATAAAGTAGGTGTCAAGTTTATTGGCATTTAAATCCACCAGTTTTAATTTTGTTAAACACTTGTCAAGTTCTTGTTCCGTTGAATAATTTTTTGTACTAGACATAATTCAATTTTCGTTATTATATTTTGTAATTACCAAATCTTGTACTATTATACAACGAACAAATATCTACGATGACGTTTCTGTAGTCTACTCCTTAGAAAAGTGAAAGGCAGTCGTTCCCTCCTTTTGAACTGTCATCATCACATGCTGTAACGTTAGTCTTAACATCACATGGTGTACCCATAGCAATATCGTCTGCAGTCTAACACAGAAATTCGACCTACTAGTTTAAACGCATCGAAGGTAAATATATTCAATCATTTTATTTTTATATTATTATAATATCACTATATTTTTAAATATTTTACTCGAATAAAAGTTGTTTTTCTATTTTCTTTATCACGATTTAAAACTATATTTACTTATAATTGTTTAATATAAAAAATTATCATTATTGTACAAGTTATATGATAAAATTTACTTTGTCATTGTTTCAATTTTCATTCAATTATTAACAAATTTTTATAATTCACTAATTTAAACGATTAATTGAGTTTTTTTAAACTTTTTATAACAAGCGGATCATTTGAAACTCATTTTAAGTACAATACATGGATTATTTCATAATTTCATTGTGTTCCGTAATAGTGATTTTGTAAGACCAGAATAGTTAAATAGGACACCAGTGATACTTAAATATTACGTGTTACACTTCAAGATCAAGGTCCATAAACTTTTTTTTTATATTGTATATTTTGCTTTACAATGTTCCGTAATCAACTTAGTTTATCTTAATAAAAGTAAATAAATTTAAATAATACAAGTTTATAGTTAAACCCAAGTCAAAAGAAACCATTATAATACTTTAATATAAATACTTTAAAGTATTATTTATAACAATATTTAAAATACGAAAATAAAACAAATTAGTAATTTAAGTTTAAAAATTATACAGACTTATTTATCATAAACTACTCGCAAAATAAATACAAAACTAGAAAAATAATTTTTAATTTCTTTTAGTGACATATATTTCTGAAGTATAATTTATGATACTAATGTAAAAGAATTTTAAAATAATTTCTTACAAAGTACTCTTCCAGTAAGAGATAAGTATTTTATTAAAACATTTTTGCAGGAATAGAGCTATCATTATATTTCTTATGGCCCTGGTTCATTAAATATCTAAATTTTTCATATATTTTTACATAAACTGTTATAGACATGAAGTCGGTAACTCCACTTATTTTTACCTACAAAACAAAGTTTTACATTAAAGTAAAATTACTTGATAATACTCTCTTAAAAATAATTGTGGAACTTTATCATATACGCTTGGAAGTTTCTAACGATAATGTGTAATGGACATTATTAATATTATTGATAAAAATTTTATACTTGTATTTGGCACTCTTAAAATATCACTATCTATGTGTAAAGTTAGGGTGTATATTAAAAATATCATACTTCTGTATGGGAATTTTAAAATCATTTCTTACAATAAAATACTCAAATTGACCCTGATTAAATAGGGTTTAAATGTACTTTTTAATTGTAAAAATATTTTTAACCCACGACCCTCAACCTTAAAAATTACAAGAAAAATGAATTTATTTTGAACTTAACCTGACAGTAGGGAATTTATAAGAAAAATATTAAAACACTATACTGCAAGAAATTATTATGAAATTTTCATGTATCAGTTTATTTTTAATATACACAATACATGAATAAGTGTAATTTTGATATAAAGTATAGAAAAATTTTATACAAGTATGATATTTTTATTATTTATTAAAATTTCTCATTAAATTGTACGCGTTAAAAACTTTCAATACATGTATACGTAAATTATGACATATTTTTAAGAGTATACAATTTAATAGAACTTTTTTGAAGCTTTCCATAAACTATCAAAAGCTGTTTTTATTTTTCTGTATTGTCAAAGTTAGCCGTTATATTTTCAATATAAGTGAATAAATTAGGTTTTATATGGGAATTTTATTTATGTATTACAACATCATGACTTAAAAAACTTAATTTTTCAAGAGAGCATTTTAAAAAGGAAGAATATATTGAATATAAGAAATTTACTAATCTTAAGCAGTTAAATAATTAGCTTTAGGCGTATTTGATTTACTTATATACATTACTCTTTTAGGACGTTTCTAATAACAAACGTACTCAAAAACATTATACTTTGAGATGCAAAGTCGTTAGAATGAGTGAGTAATGTATTTATCAAACCAGGAGATGAAAACAAATAATTAAAAATATTCCTAGCTATATAAAAAAATTAAAATGTCATTAAATTAAAGGACATTTTTAAAGCAAATTATGACGAAAAGATAATAATACACTTAAGTGTTATTCTAAGAAAACATGAGTATAAAAATTAAATATAGACCATGTGATCTAAAATATAACATAAAGGGGGAAATCGGAAAGATGGATACTGGTCTTAAGTAACCATACAAATATTACCTTTATAATAAGGTTATTTTTTTTTATCGCTTTATCAGCCCATTAAGGGCTATAGCAGCCTACCCCAAAGGAGGAGGTTTCTTAACCATTTATAATCCAGGACGGGTAGTTAGTCCGTCACCGGAGAGAGGAATGGCGACTCTAATTACCGAACTGATCTCTTGTTCGCAAATGAGCTCACCGTGACCGAGTTCGAATTGGAGGCAGTGAGCGTCAAGCACCGCCGTATTACTGACTCGGCCACACCGTCCCACTGTAGTAAAATTTGCAAATAATATTTTAATAAATCTTAAAAATGAATTTTTGATTCAATTTACTTTAAATAGGCTTGAAAACGTTTACTTTTTTTCAATAATTATTACGTAGTAATTATTGGAAATTCTATCTTTTAATATTGATTTTTACATAAAAAAATATTTTTTTTAACATTTATAAATACAAATCAAATGTAAAACTATGTTTCAATTTTGAAAATAATTTTTATATTATTTCAAAAAAATAAAGCATATTATTTTGGTTTTTCATGTTTGTTCATTATTTTATTATATAAAACTTATAGAATTTATAACATAATTCATTGTCTTCCATGGATTTTTGAATTAAACGCTTATACGCTATTTGTTAAATATATTGTGATAAATATTTTATAGATAGAAGATATTTTATTTTGAGAACTTTTGATTGGCAAATTCGAAAAACAAATAAACTAAATAAGTGAAGCGTTTCAATTGTTATCTTAATTTTCGTTAAAATTGATGGAATTTCTCATTTTAAAAATTTATTGGATGCATGACTTTGTTCCATACAACAAATATATTTACACATTTTAAGAGTTTTTGGAATAAATATTTTCTGTTATTTCTTGAGACAGATAGTGTAATTTTATAAAATCGATTTCTTTTATTAGCTATACAAAAAAAGTGAATTTTTTTTCTTCTTCTTAAATAATTTTGGAAAATCGAAACATGCAATTTGACTATGGTTTCCAATGTGCAATAATAATAATAATTCATTATTATTTAGAATTTTTATTAAAAAAGAGGTATTTAAAATATATCAAAAATCTACTTTAATTGTTCGTTAAATGAATAAAAGAGAAATGAAGTAACATAAAATCTAAATATTTCCATTATGCTATACATTTAACTTAGCATAACTATTTTAATTTATCATGAACTTTTTAAACTAATTTATGCCTAGTCTTGATTATAACTTAATAATATTCGGCTCTAAAAAAGATATTTAATTTCTAAATATTCTGGAAATATTTATTTGATTCTATATATTTAGTTTAACAATTCTAAAAAATATAAACAACTCTTCTTGTAGTTATTGTTTTGGACGCATGTATTAACCATAAAGGTAGTACTGCTCTAATGACCAGTGAATGATGTTGTTGTTTTATTAAATTTTCAAACATCTAATGTATATCCTTGAATTACCATCAAAATAAATCTTCCATCCTGGATGACGGTTATTAAGTATCTCACGTCCTTCTATTCTTTTTTTTCCGACTAAATATGATTTAATATTTATCACTATCATTTAACTCATTAGCAACGCAGAATCGGACATTGTAAAAACATCAGAGTTCAATTACAATTTATATTTCGCGCAGAAGGATAATCATTATTGTTCGCGTATCTTTGTTAAAATATTTCCAAGGTCGTATAAAAGGAACCTATGTAGCTAGAGATGTGTAAATATCATAAAAGCTCTAAGAGGTTTTAAACATGTTGTATAAATAGTCGACTTGATATTGAAGGTTGACAGATTCTTTGTATGGAACATAACCAATAAAACGCCATGAATGAGTATTGTAGCTATTATGTAATGATTATAGTTAAAATCTCCTTTAATACAAAAACTGTGTGACCAGCGGGTTCCTACACTTTCTCTTCTTGTACATTGAAATTGAGTTGGTATTGATCTCCTCAAATCCAACTAACAACTATATTATATAAAATATATTTTTGCCTCATATATATATTTTTATGTGTGTCATTAAGTACGATTACATTGAGAAATATGCTAGTTTAATACATGAATTGCCTATTACGAATTATACTCATAGCTTATTATTTATACTTTATGTATTAGTTTTAGCTAACAAACAATCAAAATGACTCTTGTTCAGCCATCCACAGAGATGCAGTTGCACATTCGCACGGAGTTGAACGAAAATATAGCTACTCGGGATAAGGATTTAGAACATATTAAAGAATGGCTCAGGTTACAACCTCACTTACCAAAATTCCAAGGTATGTAAATGATTAACTAATAATAATAAATATATTTTTATTTATAACCAAAGTTTGATATCAATTTTTAGAAAGTAGATGATTAATACTATTTTATGTATGACTCATATAGTTTTAGGTGATAGGTTAGTGCTCATTTTGCAGTTATAAAACAATTAGGTAGGTTGTGAATGTAAATCACGATTTTGAAATTTTTAATGACCTAAAATTTTTTTCTTGTCGTGTATTATATTATTTTTTATAATCGTTATTAAATTCACTCAATTTTCTGATTTATTATTTTAGTAATTGTTACATTATTATAAAAAAATGTAATATATAATATTAAGGTCAAATAGGGAAAATATAATCGAATGGGAAAATCACTTAGCTACATTTACGTGGACACATTTTTAAAGAAAAATAAAAATTTTTTATTTATTTAATTCAATTAGAAGTAATTAATAAGTATTTTTATTTTAGATGACGCCCGTATTATGACTTTTCTCAGAGGTTGCAAATTCTCCTTAGAAAAAACTAAAAGAAAGTTAGACATGTACTTTACGATGAGAGCTGCAGTACCCGAATTTTTCAACAACCGTGATCCATTATTACCAGAAATCAAAGAAATTATGAAAATTGTGTAAGTATTGTAAAATTGTAATTTTATTTAACAAAAATATATTTTATTATAAATTTGTTATAGGAATCTTCCACCACTTCCTGGTTTGACTCCAGATGGACGCAGAGTTGTAATTATGAATGGAATTGATATAGCTCAACCAAATTTCAGTGTAGCCGATGGTATGAAAGTAGTACTGATGATTGGTGATATTAGATTAAAAGAAGAGCACACCGGCGTTGCTGGAGATGTGTATATATTTGATGCAAGTGTAGCTACACCCTCAAATTTCGCCAATCATTTTGCCAAATTTACTCCAGCTTTAATAAAAAAATTCCTTATTTGTGTGCAGGTACATAAATTAAATGTTTTAATGAATATTTCCATGGGTATAGTAAATTATATCTAAGGTCAGCAATTTATACACTATGTTAGGTTATTCTGAATTTACTACCATTCAGTACAAATATTTCTTAATTTGGTTGAAATTTTCTAATGTATTGTTCCCGGGTTTATTATTTTTAGGACTATAAGGGGGTTTATTTTCCCTAAAAGTAAAGATATTTCCATGCTATTATATGGTCCTATGGAAAAGTTGGACTAACTTGGGACCCTTCAAAGTGGTTTAAACAAAATTTATAAATTTCTTCTTCTTCTTTCTCGTCTTAATCCCAACTACTTGGGGTAGGCCACCCTTACCCTAAACTTCCACTTGACACGCTCTCCCACATCATCTACGCTCACATCAGCTGTCCTCAAATCGCATTCAATAGCATCCCTCCATCTCTTTTTTGGTCTTCCAAATTTATAAATGTATAATACCATATTATATATAACATGTTTAATATATATTTTGTTATTTGTTAATATTTTAAATTAAATAAACATAATAGTGTCAATCAATAAGGATTATGTAAAACGTTAAGGAAGACGGTTCATGTAATAAACAGAGGTTGGGAAATTTTGAGATAATTACATTTTTACAATATATTTTATCCATTAAAAGTAGTTTTAAAAACATTTTCATTGAGTATTTTCTAACAACAATCACTCAAATAACTTTTTAGTTATTTATGATCTACTTACTTAGTTATACAGATTTTGAAAAACCTTCAAAAGAATTAGCTTTTGATTCTTTATTTTCAGTGTCAGAGACAAATATATAAATCGAAGCGAAAATAAAAAGTTGTATTTAAAAATCTATATTTTTCTGGAAGTCTTTAAGAAATTCAAATTATATAATAATTCAAAAATTTATATATTTTAGAATTATTTGTGAATTTTATGTATAAATAAATATTATTTATTATTTTTTCTAGAAATTATTGTTTCAAAAAATACATGCGTATATATTATAATATTAATATAGTCTTGATTTTTATTTTCAATAGAGTTTGTAATTGATTTTATGATTTTAGGAAGCATATCCTGTTAAACTCAAAGAGGTCCATGTAATCAATGTTTCGCCAATGGTTGACACGATAATAAATTTTGTAAAACCATTCTTGAAAGAGAAAATTAGAAACAGGGTACGCTAAATTATAAAAATAATAATTTTATTATTAAATATTATGGTACTTAGATTATATAGTAGATAAGAATTAATTTTTATTTTAAGATTGTCATTTTTTTTCCTTTAAATTTTGCTTTTGAGTAAAACAAATCATTTCTATTTCAATTCATATGTTAATCTAACTCAAAATTTGTGTAAACTAAAAAATTAGTAAGGTTGATGAATTTAACAAAATTTTATTTTATTTTAGATTCACGTACATTCAAGTATGGAATCTTTGAACAAATTTGTACCCAAAGATATGTTACCAGAAGAATATGGTGGACTTGCTGGACCAATGAGTGAAATAAACAGTTAGTTCAATTTATTATATGATATGATATAATGTGTGATTCTTTCAACATTAATTAAAATTTTACTGCAATATCTCAAAAATAATAATTTAAATATAGAATATGATTTTTTAATATGATACTACCACCAATATTTTTGTTCAAAAGTAACTATTTATAAAAAAATGCACATATCAACACGTAATATTTGTTTTAAAGATTTTAGATATTTTAAACATGATATATTAAATTTTTTTTAATGTCCCAAAACATTTTATTTTGTAAGTAGAATTCTTACCATTCTTGTTTCGAAATAACCCACAGAATTAAGTTTTAAGGGTAATTAAATTGTTATTTTATGATTAAATTAAATTTAAAGTAATTTTTACATAAATAATACCTAAATGTTAGCTTCTATTGTATAAGAATTTTATAATTTTAGAAAGAGGTTAAGGATCTAGTAAGTGGCTAAATAATTCATGAGTGGCATCTTACGGCGTAAATAGAATCAACCTAAGATAGGTCACCAAAATTATTGTGCTATACTTAAATATTTGTTTATAGAGCAATGGTATGAGAAACTAGTAACTTATAAAGATTGGTTTAAAGAACAAGAAAGTGTCAAGGCTGATGAATCAAGACGTCCAGGAAAACCAAAAACCCACGATGACCTCTTCGGAATGGAAGGTTCCTTTAAACAGTTATCTATTGATTAAATGTTTATATTTTGAAACACTATAATGTTTTTATTTAATCAAATTCTTTTTTATACTATTATGTGTATTATATTTTTATACTTTTATTTTATTTTCAAGACTTTCATTGTACAAAAATTAATCATATATTAGTACTTTTTTTTATTATAAATCATCATTAAAGTAAAAATCATGAGCTCAATATCACATCTTTACATTGTTGACCACTTTTTTTTAAATGTTTTAGCCCACTTTACTTTAAGTTTTCCGCACTCAAAATGCACCAAATACATCTATTACACGACTTTTTAAGAATAAAATAATTTACATATTTTTTGAGTAACAATTGAATTAGACATAGATGCAAATTCATTTACATAATAAATATTAAAATCTTATACTCAGAAACACCATCCAAGTTGTTTTTTTTATTAAAATCCTAACTATATTTGTTAATAAGTACTGCAATGATATTATATAACATAAAATTTTAAAATCAACTTTCTATTAAGATTGGTGGTTTGGTTGGAAAAAATAATCAAAAAAACAAACGTTAAATTTTATGATAAGTAATGTATAATTTTTATTAAAAAAAAAAAGCTAAATTTTCGAGATGAACATTTTGTTTATTACTTATAACAGCTAATAATAGATATCAATTAAAAATAATTATTATTTTATAAGAGAGGGACGATGTAGCCGAGTCGGTAACGACACAGTGTTTGACTCACACTGCCTCGGGTTCGAAACTCGGTCACAAGCAGCTTCATTTGTTGGGCTATAGACCAGTTCGGTAATTGGAATCGCCATCCCTCTCTTTGGCGACTGACTAACCACCCAACCCGGTGCATCAATGGTTAAGAAATCTCCTCTTTTGGAAATGGTCGTTATGATTCTTTATGGACTTAAAAAGTTTAAAAAAATTACTTTATAAATAATGTATACATTATTCACCACTTTTTGTTTAGGAAAAATCCGAGTACGAGTGGAAGAGTTTTAATACGGTTCATTGGTCAAGTAAATTAATATAGGACATTCTAACGTGTGCATATTTTGTACATACATACCTTAAAAAGTTGAATATTACAATTAAAGCTATAAAATACAATTTAATTAATAATAGAATACTAATATACTTAGTATAAATGTTTTCAAAAAACTGTATAACTCTTTTATAAATTCAAAATATATTCTACATTTTTTAGTAGATTACCGTAGAAAAATTGCGAATGATGACATCTTGATTATAATGTTCATATATGATTTTTTATGTTTAACACGTTGTTGTTATTAGAAGTTATCTGAAAAATATAAAAAAGGTCTTCTATAAGAATTAACACGTTTTTCAAAATAATACTATATGCTATATCTTGAATTGTAAAATGTTATTTATAAACTAGTCATTCGTTATTTGGTTAATTAAACTATAATATCATTTCATATGTAGACAGTTCCACACTTAAATTTTGAATAATGTATTTTTTATATACTATTAATCAAATTTTCCGTAAAAAAAATGTCTATAATTGCATAAATTTACTAGGTCCTCAAATAATTTTAAAACGACGTGTGAGTAGGCATATAATTTTGGATGGGCATTGCTCATATACTTTTAACCTGAAGCTGCCAATTATTGTGTGTTTTTTTAGAGTATTTAAATGTGTACTAATTTTTTCCACTCCATAAAATGATATGGAATTTTAATATTAGTGAATATAAACTTAACGGTTAACTTTTTTGTTATTTATAGTCAAAATTACTTTGTATAGTTTATTTCACCATTCGTTCTAAGTACCATGCAGTGACTAGTATAATTAATAGTAAAAGGTATTCGAAACTATATATAAGCTGAATAATAATGATTCAAGTTTTCGCAGTATCTATACTTACCAGACATCATTAGTTTATAGTCTTTTTAAGTATTAATCCTCCTTATTTATTATCTAAGAAGCACGTACAGAAGATAAAACAATTAAAATAATGCGAAACAGTAGCTCGTACATTAAGAAGACATGAGTATTTACGCTGTTTATATTTGCAGCAATACACAAGACATCACATTTGTTTTTCAAGTTGGAATAAAAATCGTTGCCATAATTTATCAAAATATGAATCTAAAAAAAATTGAGCCATTATTAATCTCTTTAAGAGATCACTGCTAATAATAAAATTTCTAATTTTTAAGTTATTTGTACTCTTTAATTAAGTTTACTTCTACGTAAACAGATTTTAGTATAATTTTACAGAGAATTTGTGTGCGCTGAGTAAGAATTTTAAGGTTTTTGATGCAAATTAGAGATAATCATTGGTTAAAATTTGATTAAAGTTAATCTAAAGATAGTTTGTTTAAGCTATTCTTAACTATTATTAATGGAGAGTAAATTTGACCAAACCAAATGAATTTTTCTACAAACATTTCCAATGCAGAGAAAAGTGATGATAACGGGTAGTTTCTTTTAAGTGCTTGGAATGCGACTAGTTGGATTAATTATTGGCGCTAAATGGGTGCTCATGTCTACTATTCAGTAATATTTTAGTTTACATTGATTTTTTCGTTGTTTTCCATTCATAGACGTTATTTCAATTGTTTTTAGTACCATAGTTATTGTATAGGCCACTAATTTGCATATTTAAAGGCTCAGGCTAAATACTTAAGGCTGTAGAATAAGTACCAAATTGATAACACAGAATTTAATTTATGCAAATAATGCCCTTGTCACCATTGTCTGGATTTACTCATAAATTATATAAACCACAAAAATGTTTCAATTTTTAGTTTTAAATTCGGCTTAGTGTAGATTTTTATATTTGTAAATTGTTAAAATTATTAGTCAAATTATAATTACTTATTTGAATTCATTCTTTAATAATTTGATTAGTAAAGCGGATAATATATTATTCATTGTAGTTATATATATATATATATATATATATATCTACATTTACATTTATTGTTACAAAATATCCTTCATTTCAAAAGTTAAGCACAAATAAACTTTTGAAAATAGTCAGATAGTATTTGCATAAGGTAGTTTAACATTATCAATATATATATATACATATATAATAGATACTAGTTTATGACATAGACAATAACATTTATTAAAATTTAAAAACTTTTACTATTGATGATTTACCAAAATTAGCCACGCAACACGTGCCATTAAAAAAAAAAAAATTGTAGCCTATAAATTGTTGTATAAAATAACTCATTATCAATCTACTCAAAAATTATTAATTTTGTCTTGACAATGTAACACACCATATAACATTTATTTTTTTGAAATTCAACCATATTTGTATGGTACTAATGACTTATGAAAACTGTACAAAAAAAAAAATCTAAATAACAATGTTCATCTGTCATTATAACGTATGTGCAATATTTTCCAGCGTTAATTTTACCAGTTTTGTTCCAGTTTATAATATACCGAGTGGCTATCACTGGGCGGCGGTGTTTGTTGCACGTTTGACAGTTGGGCCGCTACCGACACCGACTGCGCACTTATACCGGTACATAAAGCCGCGTCATTCGCTATCTTGGTTGATACATGTTTTGTAATCTTAACGTTTCGGTACACTTTTGTTGCCGGTAATTTTTGTTTTTATTTGGGCGACTTTTATAGATTAATAAATAGTCAATTAAACCATGATTTAAAATGACGGACGTGCTGGAGATATATGTGAAAATCACAGAAGTGGAATTATTGTCTGCCACAATTACCGTGTAATATTCAAAATCGCCATTGCCGCCTTTTAAATCAAGGATTACTTTTTAAGTGCTTGGCATTCTCGAGGAATAAAAACAATCGCCGATCAGGTATGAATGAAATCACTCAACTGTGCAATAGACTTTATAGAGCCTTAATATATAGAGTTACATTAAAATGTGAAATAACTAAAAATATTTTCAAATTTTAGCATAAAAATATTAAAACCTAACTAAAACAATAAAAACGTATAAACTTTACACGATGACATATTACAGAAGTATGTCCTATCACCATATTATTTTGTTCATTTTTAAACACTGAAATTGAGTTTCAATATTTAATGTTTGAATTATTTAGTGCAGTTACTAAAAATTAATCAATTATTTTATTTATATGAATTTTATTACATTTTATAAAAATTAATTAGAAGTTTAATATCTAACAGTAACTACGAGCCATAGCAATATTATAAACAATTATTGCTACATGAAGATTATTTGATACCATATAAAATATAATGATACAGATACACACTTATTATTCGAAATATTATTTAGTAAACAATAGATTTTAAACATATTATTTAATATTGTTTAGTAGTATATAATATATAAACAAACTAATACTTTTTTCGTGTTTGTTGTACAATACTTTTAACGATGAAGGAATTCGTTTTTGGTCATTTAAATATAATTAGACACTCGTTATTATAATAACGAATTTTAAATTATTTTTATTACTGTTGACTAAATTTAATTATCATTTATTTATTCACTGATATTTAAGTAGGAGCTGTTTGAAAATTGAAATAATTTAATAATTTTAAAGAAATAAGACAAAACATTGTGGCAAGTAACTAGTTGAACTTGGGTTTACAACGAGTTACATAGTAAATTTATTTTATGAAAACAGAAATGAATATCCATTAAATTTAATCGAAAAAATGGTAAATTTATCTAGCAATTTATTTGATCAGCTTTGCTATTAAGCCAAAAATTATTGTCAACTCTCTAATATTCATTATTCATAAGAAAGTGTAATAGATGTAATTAATAAAATTTAAAAATAGCATATACATCTTATGAAAGTTTACCTTAAAAATCTTTTGGATATTGTTAGCAATTATTAAATACTTTAATTATAAAAACTTCGTATTAAAATAGAGTTCAATAATAGGTGTCATGTTTACACGATATTATATTGCAAAATTAGGGGAAAAATTTAATAATAACTACGAACATTTTATAGCTTAAACAAACCTCTGGATTAAGTATTTAATAATTTTGATATTTCATTAAGTAGTTAATTAAGTAACATATTCAGAAATGTACAAAAGTTTTAGAAACTTTTTAACAGTTTGAAAGGCGTATTTTATTTTATATAAATGTAAATTTCTGTCATCAAATATAAATTAAATAATTACTGATTTAACTTTTTAACATTGTAGTAATAAATTATTATGTTAACTAAACTTTTAACAGATTTATTATCAGCAAGAAAATCATTGAACTTATTCATTCGTAATTTAAGTTGCCAATAGTTTTTAAAAATATATGATTTATATAATCTATTTCATACTTTATCAATTTTTCCGTTTTTTCTTTAATTCTTAAAAAAACTAAAATTAATGAAAACCTTGAATGCTATTAACTGAACAATTTATTAGTATATTTGTACTTAAAAAACTAGTCAATAATAAATAGTGTATGTATATGTGTGTGTGTTGGAGGGTCAAAAGTCAATTGTTGGATAATATACAAAATAATGGTCAGCAGGGCTAAATGATCTAAGTACAGAAAATTTAAAAACAATTTTTATTATATCAAATTAATCTATATATTCACGATAAAACTGTGAAAGAAATTCAACTTTAATTACTATTTATAAATTGTAAAAATGAATAACCAAGGAAGAACTGAATTACTACTTATAGGTAGATAGAATGGTTTTTATTGATTTCCTAAACAGAAACTTTTTTTGTACCTAGATCATTTTGCAAAGCCATGCCTCATATATACATATATATAAATAAACATATGCATTTGTATAAATGTTTAAAATTTTACAAATATTCATTATAATATAAATACAATAGTACTAATGTATTACTAGTAGAGTATCTATGAGCTAGTGTTATAAAAAATGCACCAAAATTATATAAATATATTAGATGATAATCTCATTGTTTTGTTTGGACCAAATTTATTATCAAAATTTATGATAATGTATTTTTTTCTGTTAAAATATATCTTATTTAATTGATTGTAATTTATAAGTTAATTATGTCGAGAATTCCTTTTCTTAAGTCATGACAGCGGGCGCCACATAATTTGATTAATGCAGTTCACAAGAAAAACATATACGCATACTATTCACCTTAAATTGGTTTTCAGAAGACTACTGTACGAAATTAATAATCCAACGCATGCCTAACTCCACAGTAGCAAACTTAAAACTACTGTAATTTTTATAATCGATGAGCTCATTATATTTTTTCAAATGAAAAATTGGCCTGCTGAATGTGAAAAATTATTTTGAGTCACCTTAATGGGATCGTTAAATGTATTACTTAAATTATCTTCAGGCTGTTCGTAGTTTATAAATATAAGATGATTTGGTATTTTTGTACGAATTTTATGGCCACAAGCTGAATGTGTATTTTTTTAAAGTAAAAATAGTCTTAAATTCCTTGTCTCTTAAATTTTTACTGTAAAAAGAATAATTAAGTTCAAACATTTATTGGGTAAACATATTGGAAAAAGGTGAATTTAATCAATTTATTGTTTTGTGATTTTTTATTGGAAATTCTATTATAATCTAAGCGGAACTAAGAGGTTTACACTAGAATAACAGAGTAATTTAGCTATTGTGCGATTTAGTATTTGTTTTAACACTTGAAATTATCTAATGTTTTTTAAAGTGTAATTACCATAGCTAACATTTTTTGCTCCTTTTTCAATCGGCTATGAATGGTACTGGTTTTTAAAAATGTTATCAATAATCATTGGAATGTAGTTATTTTTTTAAACAGTATTTATCTATTTTTCTCCGTTCTCTTTAAATATACTGAAAAAGACTTTTATTTTAACATTAATATTACTATTAACATTACCTGTTTTCATTATTTTTTGAAACTTATATAGCATCATAACTCAAATTTATTTGATATTTTCTTAATAACACTAATTTGAATAATTTTGTTATCTCTACCATTGAAGAATTATTCATAACTTTATGTTTTGATTATACCAATTGTAACATTTTATTTAAAAATTTGCGGAATATTTTATGGTAAATATCGTTTGTTCCTTACTTACTAGTTACAAGAAAAATAATTTGAAATGTACGATTGAAAAGCATATACAAACATTATATTTCATATGAAGCAATATCACAGTCAATAAACAAAAAAATCACTATTTTAAAATTACGTGGTTCTTATGTTTTAATACTTTATATTAGTGATGCAATGTTAACATTTAAAGCTTTATTTAATTTGATAATGGCAATGACTTTATTCAAATGGATTTTTTTCCTGATTAACTCACAAAAACCTTTAAATTACTTTTCAATTTCTTAATACTATATATCAATTCGAATTTTTATTTAATTTTTTGATTTTTCGTTATAAATGTTTGTAAAATAAAAATAGCGTTGTTTGAAACGTCTCGATAAATATTAACAGGTCAATACCATATATGAACAAATTATTTCTTAATTGAAATGCATATAACTACTGTTTCATTTCAATTTCCAATACATTTTTTCTTAACTTGTTAATACACTGACGCATAGAATGATCAACGAATAGAGTGAGCTGTAGCAAATATATAGTAATACTTATTCACATACTTATACAGAGTACGAGTTTGGTTTGGACTCGTCTGTAGGCGTCGGTCTACCGACACCGACTCAAAGCGAAAAGTGTCGACGGGAGACCTCACAATTATATCGATGACTTCTACAATGTACAACTAACATTAAGGTAAAATTATGTTTTAATTTCTCAGTAGTACTAGCAATGTAAATTTGTTATCAAAAATGAGGAAAATAATGAATGCTATGGTTTCCACAAGAGCGTACCATTCAAGTGGTATAATGCTAATTATATTATGCTAATATTAAGTTTTGCAATATTATGACTAATACATGCTGGTACGCGACGTTATAAATATTTTATGAATTAACTACTGTTTTAGCACAAGCGTTCTGCTTCTGCACTTTCACTATAACTTATTACGACGCATGACACCTTGTTTTTATTAAACGTTCACGAATATATCACAGTTTTCAGACAGTCATTTATACCTGAAATGAGAATATTTTCTTGATAGATCATATTAATTGTTTTTCTTTAATCATATTAATTCAAGCAACCATACAAAGTTATAAAAGAAAAGTATATATAATTTGATGTAGTTATTATTTAATAAAACAACTAGTTGCTTGATTGATAATAAAAATAGTATCTAGTGATTACCTTTTCAAGTATATTTTAAACATTTTTGCTGAATTCGGTGGGGGGTTTCTAACATTTTTAATGAATAAAAGAACGTGAAAGTAGTAGTTTACTTATTTCCAAAATATTGTTTAATGTATTTACATTGATTGACTAGGTTGTAATTCACAATAAAAATGTTTGATTATATGTAGTTTATAGATAACGATCGGATGATAATGAATACGCATTTTACACGATCACATTTTTTTTTAAGATGACTAAAATGTATAAAATCCTCTCAATCGTATCATTTTATAATAAGTATAAACTTATATTTAAAAGTTATTTAGTCTTAAAAATTAATTTTAAGGATTTATTCAATGAATGATTATTGTAGTGTGCCAAAAAGTCGAGTCAATTTTATCAAGAAAGATTCTATTTAAACTTCAATATGTCAATTTTTAAAAGACACCATTGAAATTTGTGTAATTGTGGTTACAAAACCATTGTAAAAATTTTCATTAAGGCCCTGATAAATATGCATTTGTGCATTTTATGTAACTTCTTCTTGTAACGTAGAAACAACGTTGTTCGGAATAATTAAAAAAATTTTAAAGTAAGAATAATTCCGGGGTCCATTTATATTCATGGTCATTAAATACGTAAATATATAGATAATATTTATTTTTTTAATATGAGAATGGCCCGTGTCCAAAGAAATTTCATTTTTAATTTCACAAATAGGGAATGGTATATTAAAACATAAACCTCGATAATCTATTGTTATTGATACTAAATGCATTTGTTTTACCATCAACGTTTGAGTACATCCACTGATTATAAAATTATAATTACTCGTAAAAAACGTCGGTTAATTATGCGTTTGCTTGATTTCGATAGTTAATTAATGCCTCTCGGTGATAATAGTAATTACTCATCAAACGATGATCGAACCTGTTTCTCAAGGCCTCGATTCTTTTGTCGTTCAGACATCATAATAATTAGCGGAATTAAATAAATTTTACGTTCACTCCCCTAGTAAACCACCCAGTGCACGTGTTTCTATTATGACACAGTTAGTCTTAGATTATAATGTGTTATAGAAAGCTGTAGTGTCCGTTGAGTTCAATTACAAGAAAATTAAAGATTGGGTGGCAACAACGCAAGTGAAAGTGTAACAGTATCGTTGTAGCCTACTATGTTAAAAGTTAAAATATCATATATGGTAACATTGAAAATGAAATAATTTACATCAGTTTTATTAAAAAGCAAGGTTGGATACAAACATGTTAAAACATTCAGTTAGTTTAACATTTTAAATTGTTAATTTTTTTTTTTATATATTAACTGATAACTCAATGTGGGTTCTTATTCGAGTATTGTTGTGTACTCCGGTTTACTCAATTANAACTGATAACTCAATGTGGGTTCTTATTCGAGTATTGTTGTGTACTCCGATTTACTCAATTAATTAAATTTAAAAAATTAATACTAATTCTTCATTATGGAGCGTTTCTAAACGGTATTTTATTAAACAACACTTTTCTCGGGATAGATTATTTGCATAGGTAATCTCCTTGTAGAAGTTACAGCTGATGAAATCAGTAAAAATAGAACGCTTGTGCGAATTTCAACAAAAGCAAACCAAAGTTTGACATATCGGAATTCTTTACCCCTGTGAGACCATTATAAATATGAATATAAATATAATATAATACAATATTAATATTCAGGGCAAAAATTATTTTTTATTATTCTTTTAAGCCATATTGCGTTTGTTATGACTTATTACTTATTAATTAGCTTTGTTGTTTAAAATATATANTTAATTAGCTTTGTTGTTTAGAATACATACAGATATGTTTATATCTTCAATTTAATGTTGACGTTTCGAACTCGTTGTAGATTTCATCTTCGAAACAATAATTTTAGATCTGATGATGAACTCTGAAACGATTTCGAAATGTCATCACAAATATGAAGACAAGATTTACAGTAGAACTTCGATAAGTCGAATTTTAAAGTAAATGATCTGCTTTTGACTTATTGAGGTTTCAAGNTACAGATATGTTTATATCTTCAATTTAATGTTGACGTTTCGAACTCGTTGTAGATTTCATCTTCGAAACAATAATTTTAGATCCGATGATGAACTCTGAAACGATTTCGAAATGTCATCACAAATATGAAGACAAGATTTGCAGTAGAACTTCGATAAGTCGAATTTTAAAGTAAAAGATCTGCTTTTTATTTATTGAGGTTTCAAGTTATCAAGGTATTTTAAATATTCTAAATAATACAATAATCCATGAAAACTTCAACTCATTCAAGTAGCTTTTTTTTTTTTTTAATAATTTTAGTTAGTTTTTATTAACTGTGGTTGATTTTTTTGTTATACTGAAATAAAATAATTTTAATTAATAAAAAAAATGATGAATTCTACACCCTAGAAGGTATTGAATTTAAAATAACTATACTTAAGACTTCTACTAGGTAACTAAATTATAAAGTTATTATTATTTTTTTAAGCATCTAGTAACTTAACTAATCTTACTATTAAAACTTAGTGAATATTTTCAAAACTAACTTAACTTCACAAGATAGAAAAAATGTCAAATTTGCCCGGCTTTGTTAGAAAGTCCCTATGTTCAAATATTGATTCATAATATTAAGTATATGTTAATGCCTTATTTTTCTATAATAAATGTACAACTACACTAAGAATAAAATGAATTAAACAATGAAATGGTAAGCTCATATAAATACTAAATTTAAAAAATCATTACAAATGGACTCTTATTTCTATAATTTTTAGCTTCGATGCGAAGCTGAGAAGGTATTAATTTTACTATGATGTGTTTTTTTTTGTGTCCGTTACTCACTTTAATGAAAAGTAGTATTTATATACATCTTTCATTCGGCATACTGATTTTTTAATTCGGACCATTTTCCTTAATACAGGGAAGCNTGTGTCCGTTACTCACTTTAATGAAAAGTAGTATTTATATACATCTTTCATTCGGCATACTGATTTTTTAATTCGGACCATTTCCCTTAATACAGGGAAGCTTCAAAACATAAAAATGCATATAGAAAGTAGAACTTTTTCAACTTAATTTTTGAAAGTGTTCCGGAAATACTGACACTTTTATATATATCTTAAATTAAGCTTATGTAATATACTTTAATATTAAAAAAAAAATTTCGGACTTTATTTTGTCTTCACGGTGAAAATTATTACAGTATGCTATTTTTGTGTGAAAATTCTCGATTTTATATTTTACATTTTTAACTTTATAATGCTATAACTTATTGAAAAGTGTATGGATCAATACAATTATTGTATGAGAAATAATATTTATATCCTTCTTTTATGCGACAAACTTTTTTAAAATAACACCATTTCCCTTTATATATTTATATATTATAAATATATATATTTATTCATATATTACACATATAAATCATAAAACTTGTAATCAGGATATAAATAAGAAAATAGGAGATCATGTTGTTTTTGGAATAATCCACCAATTTTTTTAAAATTAAACATTATCCTACAGATTTTCTTCAAAGCGTTTTTTACGATAGTGGTTTTAATCACTGTCAAATATTATTATACTTGACTCAACTATGCCACGATCCTCTAGTGCTGGATTTTTTATAAATTATTCTGTTAAGATTATATTATCCCAGTTAATATTTATTAAAAATGATCTTTATAATTATTATAAATTTACTAATCAATTTTATTGTCTTATATAATTGGTAAGTAACTAGAAATATATATTGCTATTTAATAGTTACTAATAAGTAAAACTGAAATAAACGGTTACAACAAACTTTAATGGATAGTATGTTATTATTTTTATACAGTTAAAACAAGTGATCGTTACAAACAGTGAACATTACAACATTAAAAGATATTAAGGAGGTTTGCAGTCCAAAATTTAAGGCTCTTATATAATAAACTAATTAAAATATTGTTTAAGCTAGATATATCATGATAGATTTCAACTAATAAATTTGTTTTCTTCGTAAATTTAATGTCCTAGAGATATGTTTCCCCTGAACACGTCGTTAAGTCCAAATTTGGCAAAAAATAAAAAAATTGATATATTTACCGCACTGAGGAATTAAATTTATTAAAAATTTCCAATAAATTAGCATGAAATTTTGTAATTTTGAAATAATAAATTTAAATAGAAGTTACTTTACACTACTTGTAGTTATCTACTTAAATAAAAGTATAATAATTTTATTTTAAATTGTGTTTGTTGTTGTCGAAATCTAGTTCCAACAACATTCGTTATAAGTTTTTTATTATTATATTTGAAATTTCTTTTTAAAATTTTGTTTTGTATAAAATACTTAACATATTTTTCTTATCTGAAGAAAATGTCAGTATTTTAATAAAAAATAATAACTAAAATTATTAAATTAATCAAATCATTTATAAATTTTAATCGGCTTTACTGAAATTTCAAAAGTATGATATAACTTTTTTTTTGTATATGTAAATCTATAGAGAGTTCAATAAATAAGAAAAAGGGTTTCTATTGTTATTATTGTTTGAAACAATTGACTTGTTTCCTTACTTACTGAACACTCTGTATAGTCATTTAGTATATCCATTGGTTATCAAGCTGACCTTGTCTGGTTGTGGTTGTTGTGGTTCATTACTTTAATCGAATCACTCTAATTTTTCTATTATTTACGGGTGTTTATACCTGTTGTGCGTAAAATGTGCAGTGATTAAAGCCTATGGGTAAATGATTTTTTACAATTTTTTTTTAGATGAAAATCACGATTTTAACTTTATTGTTCGTGGTGGCCAACTTCACAGTATACTGTTATGATTATGACGAGGTGTTGCGGTTGTCACTCATGTTTTACGAAGCACAGAGATCGGGTCACCTGCCGCCCGACAACCGCATAGCTTGGCGAATAGACTCCGCTACTTCCGACAGAGGGCAAGCCGGCGAGGACTTGTCTGGCGGATATTACGATGGTATGATAACACTATTGATCCGTTTACTAATAAAACATGTGTATTTTAAGAGCAAAATCTACTTATCTTAATCAATGGTATTTCTAAAAAACTTTTCTGTAAATTTGTGTTTTACGATTAAAAGTTTGACACATTTCTGACTCAAAATTCAGGTTCCTTGTAAAATTAAAAAAAAATAAAAAATAATTATAAAATTAAGTTAAGTTTAGAAAAACGACTCCATACAAGGGATTTATGTTATAATAGCGACAAAAATTATTTCAATGTGTTTTAGCTGGAGATTACGTTAAGTTTGGTTTCACTATGGCAAGTACTACAACAATCTTAGCATGGAGTTGCTTGTCTTATAAAGACGCTTATCACGATGCCAGTAAGTTATAATTAATTTTGCTTCTAGATTCTAAAACAGATAAATAATTTTCGTATCACATTTTAGACGAATGGGAACATGTATTGAGCTCAATTCGTTGGGCAGCAGAATACTTCATTAAATGCCACGTTAGCGACTATGAATTTTACGGTCAAGTTGGTGACTTTAATTTAGATCATAGTTTTTGGGGACGTCCCGAAGATATGAATATGTCCAGACCAGCATATAAAATTGATAAGGATCATCCAGGTGATAAAGACATTATTTCAATGATTCCCAATACGCTTAAATTAACTTTTAAATAATTTCAGGATCCGATCTGGCTGGTGAAACGTCAGCTGCTCTATCCGCCGTCTCTATGGTATTTGTTCACATTGATCCAGACTTTTCAGCAGAATGCCTAAAACATGCTAGACAATTATACAAATTTGGCACGCAGTACAGAGGTTTATACAATGATGCCATAAAAGGAGCAGCACAGTATTACGAGTAAGCTTCCATTCCAATTAATAGATACCATTAATTGCATTTGAGTGCCACGCTTGTAATTTTATTTATGCAAAGATCGACAGATTACGGTGATGAATTAACATGGGCTGCGCTATGGCTTTATAAAGCTACTAAAGAATCACAATATTTAGAAGATGCTGAATATCTGTACGTAAAATATCGATTAAAAGGTCGTCCAAATGAGTTTTTCTACAATAAAAAAGTTGCAGGTGTGCAGGTAATATTATTGGATAATTATACCAAGTTATCTATTTTATGCTACGTTTTATATTTTAAGAAGATTAACCGCATAAAGAATATTCCAGTATTTGTACTGGAATATTCTTATTAATTTATAAAGACATTTTATATTAGTAAAGTTTTACATCCTTTATTTATAATATAGAGCCGTTTAAAATTTTTAACGATACAAATAATGGAAAGTAAACAATGTTTTGTTCTTGTATTTATTTAGATGTTATTAGCCGAATCAACAAATCAACAGGAGTATATAGAATCAGTTCAAAACTTCTGCGATTTTAACATTTATAGCCAAAAGAAAACACCTAAAGGACTTTTATACATCGACAAGTCAGGAACTTTATGTCACGCTGCTAATATAGCGTTTCTATGTTTACAAGTATATAGAAATAATTTTAAATCTTAAATTAATTTTTAATATATGTATCATTTTAATGATTTTCAGGCCTCTAATTATGGTATAGGTTCTTTAAATTATATAGAATTCGCAAAGCAACAAATTCATTATATGCTGGGACACAGTGGACGAAGTTATGTCATAGGGTTCGGTAAAGATTATCCAACTCAACCATATCATGCAGCCAGGTAATTATTATCTGATACTCAAAAAAAAGAATTTTTACGAATCGTAGAAAAAAAAATATTTGGTATACATTGTATATTTTTAATTTATCAGCTATTAACTATTTTTTAGCATCATTCTTAAAAATTAAAGGGGATTTACTATACAGAGTATATAGTAAAGTCAATAAGTAAAAAAAAAACAGATCATATGTTACATACAATGAGAACAATAGAAACCCGTTTCTTTACACACTGAACACCTATATAATATATAATAAATAATTTATTAAATTAACTGTAATTTTTTAACTTTATGCTAATTTTAAGGGTGGAGTTTTATAATGAAAAAAAAACTATTAATAAAATAATTAACATATTTTTTGATATATTACATCAAAAATTGACTAAAATTAATAAAAAAAAACCATACGAAGCCCCTCCAAAAAGAAAGATATTGAAATTAATACCACAAAAGTATTTTTATCAGCTTTTTTCTACTCATTAGTCGAAATTTTTATTTTTTTTTATTAATTTTGTCTTGTTCAAAATTCGTTTAGGATTATTATGTGGTGCCAATATGTGTAAAAATTTAGACTGTTGACAAATGACGTCACTGTCTAAGTGTTAACTTGTTTTTTAGCTTCGATGTGAAGCTGAGAAGGTATTAGTTTTACTGTGATGTGTTTTTTTTTACCACTTTTTCTCAGCTCTCACCGAACCAATTTCTTTCAACGGTATGTTAAAAGATCACAAATCGTATATAGTCAAAGACATTACCCTCAAAAATTGAAAAAATTTCACTCGTTCCCCGTAAATGGAGGAAATCTCCAAAAAAATTACAAATTTAAAAATCGCTCATTTTTTTAATATTTTTTACTTACAGCTGCCATAACTTTTATAAATATGACCAAATTAATTAAATTTTTTTTATTTTAAGATGCATGATGTCTTTACTTATCATTTGGTATATTATTTTATAAATCTGACCCTATATACCTGTGGGCAGGTATATAAATAAGAAAACAGGAGATCATGTAGTTTTTGGAATAATCCACCATTTTTTTTAAATTAAACACTATTCTACAGATTTGCATCGAAGCGTTTTTATGTAGTGATTTTAATCACTGTCAGACATTATTATACTTGTCCCAACTATGCCGCATCCCCACTGGGTTTTTTAGTTTGTAGCATACATATTTAGCTAGATTATAAAATAGGAAATGATTTAATTAAAAAAATTCCGGATCAATAACAAATTTTTTGCAGTACTCCGAAAGTTATTAACATTCTTATAATATAATATATTCTTATATTATAAGTGGGTGAGGGAAAGAGTCCTTATACTTTATATCATTTAATGATATATATATATAGTCATGCTCAAACTTTTCCTCAGACTACACTTTAAATCTATAGTTATAGATTTTATAATCTATTTTATTAATTTATAAATTAGAAATGCTTATATTAAGATACGCCTATTAGCTATAAGGTATAAAGATAAATAAAAATAAGAAAATATATTAAATAAGAACAAAAAAATTTGTATTTTAATCTCGATAAAAGAATCTGTCTATACATTGTATATAACAGTATATTTTATTTTATTATTATTCAATATAATGGAGTTTTTAATTTTGCTTTAAAAGTAATCGTCAAACAATTTGCTTTCTACATTGTTTATAAATTGAAATGTAGTAGTTCTGGGATAATAATAATTATTATTAGTGTTCTTTTTTAATAATTATACATTTTCTTGTAATCAAATATGTTGTATAATAGGTGGCTTATAAAATGATTAACCTTGTAAAGTTTCTTTTATTATTTTCTTAATATTATGAAAAAATTGTTAATTATTTTATGAGTAATATTTTAATATTAGAAAAAGTACATATAGACTATTTAAAGAGGTTAAAATAATGATTAAAATAAATAATTAAGAATAATAATTTAGATTTTTAATTTTTTTACAGTTCGTGTCCAGATAGGCCAGCTCCTTGTGATTGGAATGCGTACAGAAGTACTAAGCCAAATCCTCAAATCTTGTATGGAGCTTTAGTTAGCGGTCCTGATGAAAATGATAACTACAAGGATATGAGAGAAGAGTATATTTACAATGAAGTAACACTAGACTACAATGCAGGTTTTCAATCGGCAGTTGCTGGACTGAAACATTTAGAGTTAATGGAAAAAAATCGGCGATTGAAAGCAGCCAATCAAGCTGGTTGGGATGCTGTTCATGTGGTTACACGTACATGACCATTTTATAATAATAATATATAAGCATATTGATAATTATAAATTATACTAATATTTCTTTTTTAATTATACACGATAGTAAAGAACTGATTTTTAACTTGAATACGTATATGCGTTTTTGCAAAATAACAAACAAGTCATTACATTTTATCACACTTTGTTTCCAACTATTATTTTACAAAAATCGAATGTCAATAATCTATTAATTTATCTAAGCTTGTAAGAGGGTACCAATATATATATATATATATATATATATATATATATTGTTTTATAATTGAATTGCAATTACAAATCCATATATCAAATATAGAAGTTTTAAATTCATTTAAAAAAACTCTTTTGTACCTAAGTCGTTTAAGTTTTAAAGCCTTAAATTAAAAAATCAACTAAATTATCAGTAAAACAAATTAAATATATATTAAAAAAAATTAGATTATTTCTCATAATACAAAAATCAATTTATGATAACGATAAAGTGTATTGGTACTGTCGAACTTACAAATTATATATTTTTTTGTAAATATTAGAATATAAAATTATAAATGTCTGTATATATTAGAATTTTATTCCTATAGAAGTTTAATGAAAAGTTTATTATTGTTTAATTTGTATTAATTTGCTCTAAACTCTCGATGTATTAAACATTGTACTATTTTGAAAACTCTTTTTCATTGTTTTAAAAAATTTTAAAACATTATTACTCAAAAAATTATTGCTAATTAATTTAATATTTTGTTATTTCTATATAATATTTTTTTTTTAATAAAAAAATAATATATAATATACATATACATATTTTTATGTATTGGTATATCTGAACAGAAGGTAAAATTATATTCAAAAGAATATTTTATAGCATTATTTTAAATATATCATATCTTATATTTTAAATAAGTACTTAAAATGTGGTAAATTATTAAATAGTATAAAAACTGAAGGTAAAATTGAAAAGTCCATTTAAGTAACCTTGAAAATTTTCACTGCACATAAAATTACTTATGCTTTCTATGATTTTTACCTTAAGTATCATTACTAACGATAAATACTGTTATTACGACTCGTGTGTAATAACATTTAATTATATTACCCCAATTATTAAGTTACTATAGACAATTTTTTTATAAATAAAAATAAATATTGAGATAAAAAATAGGTTATGGTTAGGATGAATTAATAATTAGTAACTTATAATTAATGTAGTATAATATAAAAAAAATATTTTGCAAAAAAAAAAAACTATTCCAAATGTGTGTCGTTGATAGAAAATTAAAACAAAATATTGATTATTTTTTTAATAATTGATAAAAATAATTATTATTTTAGTATAATGTAATTATTTCATTATATTGAACCATAAATGCAATATGTCTACCTATTTAACATCAAGAAATCATCAAAAAGTCCCTTATAAATTGAATAATCGTCAAATTTAATAAGATAAAATGAATTCTATTAAATTAATATATTTCAAATCCAATCTCCTATTAATTAGATAATATGACTCAATAACAAAAGTTTGAATTGACGTATATCCTAAGATACAGTTAATCTTTTACCATAACAAATATTATAAAACCAAATAATGATTTGCTCATGTTTATTTATAAGTAAAGTTCGAATATATATGCATTTGTTAATTTTATTTAAGCTATTTTAAACAGACCCAAGTTTATGTAAATTTGTCGTAAAATGCAAGGTGGTACTGGATATTTTGATAAATCTAATAGCTTTTGATCTACTAAATATTATACGTTACCTCTACTTTTATTATTATTATTAATATACTTTAGGGTTATATATCAACAGAAATAATATTTTTTAAATTTGCAAAGAATGTTAAAAAAAACTTAGAAAGGCTTTATAAATGATTACTTTTGATAAAATTGTCCAAATTAATGTTTATGTATAAAAAAGAATAATTGGGAATTCTTTTAACTTAAATTATTAACATGACGTTTGGTGCTATGTAGTTCTTTGCTAAATATTAACCTTTTTAAGAAAATCACAGACCTTCTAATCTTTGTGCAAAAAATGCATAATTGATCATCTACGGTGTTTAGTAACGATAACACTTCAATTTACGTCAACCTTCGAGGTAATTTTTTTCGTAAGGTTATCATGAAAATATCTTTTACCTTTACAAAATCTTTAAAGTAAAAAAACATTTTTGCTTTTTTTAATCACTTGACTAAATTTTAGACTTATTTGCGATAATTAATTTAAATACACATTATCAAAACATATATTCAATACTCTCACAATATCATGTTTTTGGTCACGCTACGATAAATTTTTAATAACACTGAGAAATGCTTGGTATGACATCATATAGAACAATAATCCAGCAAAACTATTAATATATTTTAAATATTTGTATTATACTATGCATTAATCAAAATAAGTTTGAAATAACTTAATAAATAGAATAATAACAGATAAAAATAAAAATACCACTTCGAAAAATTAAAATTCTATTTTAGTAATGTAAATAGAGAAATGTAAAAATCGGAATCTCTAATTAATGTTGCCAAAAAGTCACAAAAGCTTAATAATATTTTATTTTTAATTTAGTTTAAAGATAATTCAAAACATGTTTTTTAAAAAATGAAAGAACTTTTCATCATCTAAATTTATACATTTTGCTTAAAGAAAAGAAAAGAATTTAGTAATTTTATAAATCTTTAACACATTACAGTAAATAATTTTTGAATTATCCTATGAATAAAACTAAAACTTTTTCCTTGAAATTACAAACGCAATCTTAAAAGAAAATTATAATATTTTAATTAATATACAGGATAAAATTAATTTAATTTACTTCAATACTTAAAGTAATAACCTAAGAAAAAAAAAATTACTAAACTTTAAGTACAATTTAATAAGATATTTTTCGAAAGAAGTAAACATTTATCTTCAACATTTTCTTAATATTATTTGGAAAATATACACATTAATTTGGGACGAATATGATTAAATAAACACGTAGTGATTAAGGTTAATTTTTTTATAGAAAAAATTGTTACCTATATTCTATTTATAGGTGTACCATAACAAAATCTCTGTATTTTATATACAAGGCGTACCATACTAAACCCACATTTTATACATGGAGTGTATCATAACTAGATATCCTGTTTTAGGAGTTTATCAGTGTAAAAAAAATAAAAATAAAAATTTTAACTTTTATAGGCTAAGAAATGTTTAAAGAATAAAAGATAAAAATACAAAATAATTAAGTCCTTATCTAATTATTAATTTAATAGTAAATATTAAACATTTATTAATAATATTTAAAAATTCAGATAACCATTTTTTTATTGTTGTGGTAGAATTTTTAAGTAACAACAACGATGAAACTGAAAAAAAAAGAAAAAATCAATTTCATTTTTAAAGCAGGATATCTTGGTGAACGGAATCTGAGATTTGTGTAAATTGCATTTATTTGATCACTTATTTTTATGATAGCAATTAGATAAGTATAGGTTTAATTGTGAAAAAGAACAGTGGTATCGACGAGAATACAGGACACAAGATTCAGTGCGGTTGATTGAAGTAGAGAGAAGCATCTGGCATGTTATACGATAAAATAATTCCAATGAGGCTGAAAGTTAAGTTCTATAAGACTGTAGTGTGACCAGCTATGATATATGGTTTAGAGTGTTGAGCGGTTGACAAGAGAATAGAGCAGAGAATGAATGTAGCAGAGATGAGAATGCTTAGATAGATGAGTTGAGTCACTAGAAAATATAGAATAAGGAACAAATATATAAGAGGTAGTATAGGTATATTGTATAAGATGAAAGAAAATAGACTTAGATGGTTTGGACATATTATGAGGAGAGAGAAATTGGAAGCTGTAAGAACAATTATGGAAATGAATGCTAAGAGATGCTTTGGATAAAGGTGATCGAGTCCAAGTAATTGAGATTAAGGCGAGGAAAAAGAAGAATAATTACATAATTATAATATATTATTAAGTTGGTTTCTGTTGATTTATTTTTGCGAAAGTTTTGTTATTCTTTTACCAACGTTTTCCTTAATGATTAATGTAACTTGTAAAGTTTTTCTAAAAATTTAGGGAGCATACTTAACTTGGATATAAAACGATAATTTTCAATCATTGATTTATGGCCATTATTCCATAAAAAAGTTATGAAGCTTGATTTTTATTTACTCGGGAAAATATAAGAGTTTAGATATAAATAGAATAAGTAATATATCAGGATAGTTAATAATATCGACGCAAGTGTAAAAATAAAAGCGAGACTGAATCTGGACATGGTATAGGATTATATCCTACATTCAATTATTCATCAAAAATTCCTGTAATTGATACAGTACGATTGGATAAACAACGTTTCTTTCAAATTGTAGAAAACATTATCATCAATGTACTTGGCGTGATAAAGACTGATGAGAAATTTAGAGCGGACAAATAGTTTGGTAGATTACAAATTTCTTATACATAGAATTATTTAATAAAATTTATTATAGGCTGTATCTACATTACTACATTTATAGATAAAATTCTAATCTATTGTGCTTAAGGTATGAGTGATTGATCGGTAATAGCCTTGTTAAAGTCATATTGATCTATATCTAATTTATCACGTGTAAAATTATGCTTGTTGTATTTAAAATTACTATTAATGGAGGATGGTAAATATCAACTGGGATTAAGAAATTGTTTTTGATAGGAAAAACATAGGTATTTAGTATATCAAAGAAAATTAAGTCAAGTAATGATCAAGATGTATTGGTATTTGAACTAAATAATCAAACAAATCCAAGATGACAAGATACAAAAATAATTTTTTCGTTATGATTTATCTTTAATTCAACATTGTTAAATGACAATATATTTACGAGATTAAAAAATCCAACTCCATCACTTTCTAGAATGTAAACTGGTACTTGAAAATTTATCAGTCCTAAAGATAGTATGCCTAGTAAACCCCAATTAAGAACATAAAATTTGTTCATTTAACCATGTTTCACTTATTGCATAAAAATCGTAATTAAAAAATGGAATATTGCATCGTAGCTCAATTAATTCATCCTGGAGACTATACATTTTTATTTTATTCAATTAATACATTTTAACTATTTTATTACAATTTTCACAACTATGATTAATATATATAATTTTATCCCTTTGGTAGGAATTTATTTTTTTTGGGCAAGATATTCTATACATGATGTATCAGTTATTATCCTTAGGTTATCTTCTTTAATCCTTAATTGTTTTATTAAAATCTGTTGACAAAGTGTTCTATTTTCCGTAACTGATACCTACTTTAAAGGGCTGATAAATCGTAGTTAAATTTGAAAACTTTTACAACGTTTGACTAAGAATCTAATTCTAATATAATGGGATGAGGTTTAATACATAACAGAGGTATATCTTTGAGTAAGTCTGATCAGCAGCTAAAGGAAGAATAATTCTTAACCTAATTATTAGGCCTTCATTTTCAGAGTTTAGAAAATTGAATAAAATAATTTTTTTTTTGAACGCCTATCTTTGATGTCGGTAAAAAAATCAAGATTATTGCTCTGAGATAGTTCCATAAAAATAGTTTAAAACTCGGCCAATTTATGTCTCTAGGTAGGGGTCATGCTACCCTAAATTATTTTCAATAAAGTCATTGTCAATTTAAAATAGTTTATAGATTAGAAAAGTATGAACACTGTTCCAAATTGCTGCGTGATCACCCTGGGGCATACCGGAAACTTATTTGCTGGCCATGAGCGCCAGTGGTCGGTGTTACAGGAGTTAAGATCTGACCGAGAAGATGTAGAGAAAGGAGATATATGTACAAAATAAATAGCACAAGCTACACATAACACATTGTCTATGAGCAAAATAAATATTATAGAAAAGATTGAATACGCGCGATAGTAAATAAAAACGGAAATGGTTGCCTATAACAATCTCTCTCCACCAAAACAACTGCATGGCTGTACTTGACGTTGAGTCTCCACCGGCAATCTGCAGTTGTAATCCGCCACCGGTCCGGATGAAATGTACTTTACTGCAGTCGACCGGTAACGCGAAACTGATTGTTTATTTTTGACCACACGTGATCGAATTCATACACTCAACAATTTTAAAAAGATTCATACATGTGAGTATTTTTCATGTATTAATTCTTGAATTTAAATAATACTTAAAAAAATCGGTAATATGAATAAAAATGTCTAAGAGCTATAAAGATTGTTTAAAAATTAATTTGACTAAATTTTGAATTAATTGAGAACTTTTAAGTATTATCATTATTATTAATTTATTTTATTTAAAAAAAATAATATTTTTTGAAAATTTACATAAAAATTTTGATTTGTTTTAAAAATTGTAATGTAACATTTTTGTGTTAGATAAAGTATTCAAAGTGACTTTTTAAGAAGTTATGTGATACATGGTTTTTTTACTTAAAATTAAGTCACTACCATTTTTGTCTTAAAAATAACATTATCAAATAAAAATAATTTTTAATTTAGTTGAATGATTGCCTAGGTTATATCTTACGTCTAAGTTTTGCATAAGCCATATTTTAGGATTTTATTTAAATATCTAAATCACGCTTATTCAAGAATTAACATAAACATTATCTTAGTTAATGTGTTAAGTTATTTTTATATTTTATAATGAAATAAGAAATATTATTTTAGTGTTATATTATATTTTACTACTAATTATTTTGTTATTATTTTAAGCAAACAAGTATCATTTAAAAATACTCATCTCATTGTATAACGGGAAAACAAATTGAAAAAAAAAACATTGAATTAAAATTGTTTAAAGTTAATATTGATCGATATAAAAGTATTTATTTGAGCTTAACAAATGATGAAGTTTATTAGACAAAAAATTTTTAAAAATATCATTATTTAGAGTAAAAAAAAAAGAAATTTTAGGTTATATACAAAAACTAATCTTGAAATTTTAGCATGTAATAGTATTTCTTTAGACAAATAATATATTTATGTTAATATTACAGGAAAATATTTTTAACATTAAAATTTTCAGTAGCTGTTGTTATAAGAGATATTGAATGCATTATATGAAAATATAAACTGCACAATATCAGTGCAAATTATTTCGAATATAGCTACTTAAATATGTAAACATAAATTGATAATATTACATTAAACGTATCATGTCATGTGAAACACATCATTTTATAAGCTTAATAGATATCAAACTATCATAATGAGTATACTATAAATATTTTATGAATATCGATAAAAATTTACCAAAAAATTTATTTTTCTAATTAGTACCTGTAAAATCTATTATAGTTTAAAATAAAAAATACTTATATGAGTATTGAAACAACAAAAATTCATAATCTTGAAGTTCAAAGTTCAAAGCCTTCACATTGAATGTTGATCAAATTAATTAATTACGTATTTTCCTCATTGAATATTTTTTCATACGATTTTTTTTTAATTTTATGATAACACAGAATTCGTATTATTCCCAATAATTAATGTAAATTACGAACGGAGTTTCCCATAAAAATCAATGTCTATCATTAACTAAAGAAAAAAATTTCAACATAAATTGCGTTGAAACTACTAAACCTTCGCAATGATTATATGCTATAAAATATACCATTTAAGAACACAGAAAATATTTTCAAAAGTTCAAGTATTAAAAATGATATTTTATGCGATATCTTAATTGTGTTTCAATAACAGTTTAATATCATATGGTTAAAATTAACGGTGATCTTGCGTAAAATACTCATTTTACGGAGTTTTGTCGAAATTGCTTTTATAGGCTATCTGTTGTACAGGTATAACCTTGTGAGTCATCTATAAACACTTACAAAGTAATGCCTAATTGGTTTTTACTTATAAAATAGTACTTAACGGTTCGTATGGCTATTTTAGTTTAATGACCTGTTCACCACCTTCCTACTTCAAGTCATTGACTTTTCTTCATTTTTGTTGCCAGATTAAATGTTTTTATTTTTATTTTGACCATTATGTTTACACAACTTGTTTCGCAGATTCTCATCATACTTGGCTCGTTTTTATATTTTTGTTGGCATTTTGCATACTTTTATAGTGCTAATATTCTAAATTGTTTGCAAAACCGGATTGTTCAATGTTCGCAAACGATTGTTTTCTTTGTGTAGAATGAAACATACTAGTCTTTGCCTTCGTATTGGTATAAGCTTACGTGGGTGTAATCCGTTTGATATCAGTACAGTTTTGAGGAAGGTCAACGATCCTTTTATAATCATTAAAATCGTTCAAGATTAATGATGTTTGGAATACAACATTGTGAATACATATTGAGTATGGCTAAAATTAAAGAAAATTTCGTCGAAGTATGTATCACATTAACAAAGAAAAATTCAGTTGATTGTTTCATTTTTGTTATTTTTAATATAATTTTAAGTCAATACCGTAAAAAAAATTCAATAACGCAAGAAATGAACTTTGATAATATCTATTTTTATTTTTTTAGCCTTTTTATAGTAATATAAGTAAATAATACTCCATTGCAAGCGGATGACATTAAAAAATTATACTGAAAAAAACTGTTAAGCATTTACATAACTCACCTTTAAGATTAGGACGTAATTATGAAAGTATTCGGCTTAACATTTTTATTACTGATTTTATAATTAAAAAAACTAGTTTTTTTTAGTATATTCATGAATGAATGATATTGTTTATTTGAAAAATTATACTATAAACTGCAAAACATCAAATCAAATTGAGATACACTTGTAGCAATTTAACAATCAATCTTATCAAATTTAACTTTATTTATAAATTCTTGATAAAACCGTTATAATATAAAAAAATTAAATTAATAAAAATATTACCGCTTTGATATAAATTTTATTGAACTATTAAAAAAATAATTATTAATCATAATTGTATAATAACAATATTTATAATTATTTAATAGAATAATTATTAATATGAAAATGTTTTATTAAAAACAATAAAAATTGATTGTTTCAATAATTTTTTATTGGCTTAAAAAATTATTTATGATTTTCAAAATGTATAATTAATTTTTGTAATAAATTCTTTGTCATGACGAAAATAGATGATTCTTTTAGGAATAATTTAGCATTATTGTACTAATAAAATATTTAAAGGTTCAATGGAAACATAGTTTTATTTAATACATTATTTTTTTTTATGTATTTTATTCCATAACTTATATCAAATTCTTTCAAACCAATAACGTGTAATTCCCACAAATATAATAAGACATATAGGTTCCTAATTGACCTTCTATTTTATTTGAAAATCACTAATGTACTAATAGAATCAGTTATAGTTTTAATACTATTATTAAAAGTAATTATTAAGTTCTTAAGTCAATCAAACTAGTTATGTTCGTACTATGTTGAACCTTTTGTTATGGCGTGATTAATTTGTTTTATCATAGTTACAATTTTTACTATTATATTTAAAAAGTGATTAAAATAAATATATTTTTATTTACGAGATAATTTCAATAAACTAAAATTATAGTAAAGTTACGTAAATAATACGATCGTTAAACCGAGACCCTTTAAGGAAGTAATTATGATCTCATTATTTATTATTCTCTAAAGATCATGATTAATCTATAATATATATCTATATCATTATTTGGTCCAATCAGGACATTATCTTCACAAAAAGATCTCTAGTAGTTAAAAAAAAAAAAAGTGATAAAAACTTTTTTTTATATAACATTTATATCTATGCAAACAAATAGTAAAAATGAGTATGTAATTAAGTTTTCACGGCTTATTACTAAGTACAATTACGATCATCATGCTACAATATATTAATATTGCTTTCAAATAGTTATCATTGGATTATTATTTAACTATACATATTTGATTTTATAAAAAATATTGTTCTTAAATCTATATAGAACATGAAAAAATACCAAATTGTTGTATTGTTACATATTGTTGTTTAATACATATTAAAAAATATTTCCAGCATTTAAACTATTGTTCATTGAATTTTATACTAAACTATCCGGATATTGAAATTAAAAACTTAATTAAAACTTACAGTAAAGCAGGATAATTCTTAAATATATTGTGGTAATGATATCATGGTGAGTAATTGTTTTTTCTGGTCTTTCTACGACGTCAGTCACGACCATCGTGCAGATTTTAAGAATCGACTGTTCACTGATGCTAGCTGACTATAAAATTATGAATTTTTGCGACTTTCATTAAATGCTAACTCCTTTTCTCTACTTTTTTGTACACATTTTACAGATGTCTATTGCAATGTTTAGAAAATCAACATTTTATCTGAACTTCGGTAGCGAAATTCTTATTACATTATATTAACAATCTTGAATGAGAACATAAATTCGTTTATATTGTTTGTCACTATGAGGTTATTTGATGAATAATAAAATAGTTTTGACAATAATAGTATTGACAAGTCATCGAATGATATTCTAAAATAAGTTCATTTTTCAATATCTGAAGAAAAACTTAGTTGGCAATTTTAAAATGTAAATTATCAAAATTAAAAAATGCTTAATTGACGAGCTCTAATACATTTCGAAACATATTTATAAAAGTACCTATACCGTTATTTCGCATCATTAAAGTTAATCAGTGGTTATTATTCGTGAGTTTGATTTTTTTTCTATGATACAATTAATAGTAACCTTGGTGGAATCAATGACATGATAAGTGCGAATCGTTGCTTAACGTTTCATAGTTCGTGGCCTGCCTGACCCTGTTTTCTCCCTTAGCCAAATTACTAGACATAATATTTTTTTTTCCGTAGGAGTCAAGTGGTTGACTTTTAACAATAGTTTTATCGAATGTTGTTATTAATAATTGTAGGTTTGACTAAACACGATTATGACGAGCGGACAATTCGTGTACAACTCATTAGTCTCTTTTATTTTTTTTTTGACGCTTTCAGATTTCTCATGGAACTTCTTGCGCAACTAAACAAAAATTGCGAACATAATACAATATTATTTTACCTCATGTTCGAGCTTTAAGATGGTACAGTTATACTTACTATGATTTATAAGGCGTCTGCTTTTAAAAACTACGACGTCCAAACGATTGCAAATTAGATGCATCACGATTATTATGTTGGTTATCATCGATGTTCACTT